CGGGGGGATGGGGTGGTTGGCCAAAGGGACCAAAAGGGAAGAGATTCTAATTTCCAAAATACGTTTAAACCTTAACCCCAATAATTAAATAATTACAAATACTTTCACTTTTTTCCTCTATTGAGCTGTTGTTTATCGGCCCGTTATAAAAGTAAGTACACAGGGGTCAGGGGTTCTTGATTTTAAATAGGTTTCATGGACCATTTAATAACACTGAGTGTCAGATTTGGACAAAAAATGAAAAATTGTTGTTTTTTGGATCCCACCCTATAATAAGCGAAAAGCAAAAGTGAAGAGATTTCTATTATTAATATTTCATTAAACATGAGGAGAACTACAGTTGTTAAAGCGTGGTTAGTAGCAAATGTTTCCAGAAATCTAAAATGATCAACGTTGGTTTTATTTAATAATTAATGTTTGGTAAAACATGACAGTCCATGGTTTTTATTTGTTAAAGAGATAAAAACCCGAAAACTTTTTGAAAAGACAAAACTTCTGAAATAAATTCCGTTAGATGAGATTAATTTTATTATTTATGGGATTACATTATATGATAAGAGATAGCGAAGGGATTTATGAGGAACATGAAAACATTGTACAACACATTTAAGAAAGAAAGGAGCTGTTCAGATATATGAGGAAATTTGTCGCTAACAAATTGAAAAATATAATGGTTTTAAACAGACGCGCACGTGTGTCCTCTCCTTTAGTTTATTCCCCAATAGTTTATTAATTCTGTCCAAACACAGTATACACCCTAACATTACTTGAACATCTATTTGTAAAACTATACAAGGGCGACGTTGATTGATTGACTGTAAGTTGGTTAATAAATAGATGGGTAGACTTGATTGACTATAAGTCGGTTGATAAATAGATAGGTAGACTTGATTGACTATANAAACCAATGTGGAAGATCTTGTCAGCTATAAAGGTCATACGGACACAAGCTAGAAAACTATCAATGCAAAACCAATGGGTACAATCTTGTCAACTCGTTCTTAAAAATAAGGGCCAAATTACTCTCTCGCCATAATTAATGTGGAGTCTATTCCAATTGATGTGTTTTTAGATATCCATGTTATAGATTAAGTTAAATATACATATTTACAAGTTTTGCGTGGATGTAAATATATATATATATAGAGGCGTAGTTAAGCTAATCACAATACTTGGTTTGACGTACTTACAAACGTAGTAAGGCTCCGTTAATCGCATTTCAAGTTTTGCATAGTTAGATTTACAGACAATGTACAACGTAATATATCTAGGTATATTCAGGTAAACAAATATAGGGATTGCTACGGTATTTATTACAGTACGAGTAAAGGGTTGGTCAGTACAAATTTAGTAGAGCTTTTTAATCCCTGATTTTATTAAAAAGTAATTTTAACATGAACTCTGGAGACATTAATAAATAAATTGTTTTTTTTTGACGGTTTTTTAGTTGATATGTGTTCAATATCGGGAATGGTAAAGATATAAAAAAAATGTATAATTATTATTAAAATCAATCGATAAAATTAATTTGCTCATCATTTTTATCTTTTCTCCCATAGAGTTGATGAGATTCTAAGATACCAGTAACTAGTAAACCATCAATTTGGTATTACGCATATAAAATTAATTATTTTTCTCTTTCATGTTTTCATCTGTTTTTTATTATTTCTCCTTTCATGTTTTAATATGATTTTATTGCATTCTTTGAATATTTTTCTATTATAGTATAGTGTACTGTACTGGGTTAATGATACCTCATATAGAAATATATTATAATATTGATAAATATAATTATAATAATCCGTGGTAATCTTTTTTAATGGTTTCTATATTTGGACTTATTAAAAGCGTTTGACAAACCTGTTAAAATACAATGTTCTGCCTCAGTTCTCTTGACTCGCTCCATCTAACAAACAAAAACATCTCGTCTTCAGAAATCATTTGGAAAGACAATTAATATCAGCGTTAGAAAAAATATTTTTACATTAAAATTTATGATATTTTACAACAATTGTAGTTACTTAAAGAAACAGAACATTCGCAACAAATTCCAATTTAAGTATGACGTAAACCTTTGAATGTTTAAAATAATAAAGTTTGCTAGATTTAGATTGAAATTTTAAAGGCTTTGGGATTAGAATATCAGAGTTTGAGGCGAGTTATTAGTTTCTGAATAAAATCATTTTAGTTTTGAACAAAAGTTTAAGGTTTCTTTATTTTTCAAGTATTCTACCAAATAGAGTTAAATATATAACGTTAATTCTGATAAGATTATTTTTTCATTTTATTGCTGTTCAATTTGCTTTGTGTTTAAAACACTCCTCGGGTGTAAATTCGGTATATATTTTAACATTTTTGTTTATAGAAATGCGTAAAATATGCCAGTTTCCGATTTTCATGGATTCTGAACCTTTTATAATCTCAGGGTTAGATTGATAAGAAGGATTGGATGGATAAAAACAATACACGTGGTTTATTGTAAATGCAAAAAAAAGAGTGGTTTATACAGATTCAGATGTTCTTTTAACTTTTCTTTCTGTGCCTGCTGTAGCAAAGGAACTGAACTCTTGCCAAAAACTTTAGTTTTCTTATCCCTATTTCTAGGTAACCTGGATTGGACTATAATTGAGCTTATACAGAGAGAACCATAAAACTAGGAAGACGACTTTAAGACTTAAAGGAAGTTTTAGCGAAAAATACCTTTACCCCTTTCATTTTTCACAAACACTTCCTTTCAGTTATGCTTTTAAATAGTCCAATGAGCACCGCAAATGTGCAGTGTAATCAGACCAACTTAACTTTATAATTCACTTCATAAGTTACTGGTAAATATATTTTTTTTGTAACAACATCAAATACACTTCTGAGTTTTTTTAATGCCGTTTTCCTATCTCAAAGTTTTTTGGTTATCACTGTAGTTTTATTTATGAAAGGTGTATAATATCAGGTTGCAAAAATATTGGGATTACGAAATTGGAATTTGTGGCCAATGTTAAGTTCCTTTAGAACACACTGATTCAAGTTCTTTGTTTACCTTTCTCAGTTCATCATTTTTAATTGCTTCAAGGATAAGATGAGACATTGGATCATCATTTACAGGTAGATACTTATCCTCATCCTCCACCTCTAAACATAGATATACATAGATACTTATCCTTATCCTCCACCTCTAAACATAGATATACATACATACTTATCCTCATCCTCCACCTCTAAACATAGATATACATACATACTTATCCTCATCCTCCACCTCTAAACATAGATATACATACATACTTATCCTCATCCTCCACCTCTAAACATAGATATACATAGATACTTATACTTATCCTCCACCTCTAAACATAGATATACATAGATACTTATCCTCATCCTCCACCTCTAAACATAGATATACATAGATACCTATCCTCATCCTCCACCTCTAAACTTAGATGTACATAGATACTTATCCTCATCCTCCACCTCTAAACATAGATATACATAAATACTTATCCTTATCCTCCACCTCTAAACAGATACATACATAAATACTTAATCCTTATCCTCCACCTCTAAACAGATATATACTTGATCCTTATCCTCCACCTCTAAACAAATACATACATAGATACTTATCCTCATCCTCCACCTCTAAACAGATATATACTTAATCCTTATCCTCCACCTCTAAACATAGATATACATACATACTTATACTTATCCTCCACCTCTAAACAGATACATACATAGATACTTATCCTCATCCTCCACCTCTATTCATAGATATACATAGATACTTATCCTCATCCTCCACCTCTATTCATATATATACATAGATACTTATCCTCATCCTCCACCTCTAAGCAGATACATACTTATCCTTATGCTTCACCTCTAAACATAGAGATATAGATGAAACTTATCCTTATCCTCCACCTCTTAACAGATATTTACATATATACTTCTATAATATATTTCTTTAAAAAAGTGTTGAGATGAATAAAAATTACAAATAATAAAATTATATGCTTTAGCCCATTCTATTCAAAAGAATTTAATTAATAACGAATGTTATTTCAAACTTTAAATATTTGATCCAACAGAATTCACATTTTGAAAAATCAATGGTCTGCATCACAAGGTTGCAAAACTATAGGAATTAAGAAATCTGAGTTTTCTTCCTGATTATTTTAAAATATTTCTATCATGTTTTTTTAGATTATATCTGATGTTTGAAATATAAATAAAGAATAATTTACAAGATAATAGAAAGTTTCTAGTGAAGCTATATAAAACTGATAAAATATCAAGATGACACTTAGAGAGATGGAGGGAGTGAAACTCACTTCTTAAATAAAGCTAGAAACAAGGGCGTCGTAGTTCTAAATTCAGTTTTTAAAATGTACAGGGTTATTGGGATAGAATTGCGTGAAATCAGAAATATCATTTTCTTATAAAAACTAGCTGAAGGGCCCGGCGTTGCCCGTGGAAAAAAATGTTAATAGTTTTTTTTAAATGTCGATTTTTTAGCCTTTAACACTTCCCGGCCACCCATGAGTGTCCACAAAAAGTTTCAGCCCAATCGGTCCAGCTGTTTGGCCGGCTATAGGCAACATATATATATATATAAGAATGTCTTGTTTTATTATATAGATATCCAGAATATTACTCTGCCCTATGCTGACGATTTTTGCCTGATAACAACAGATCTGAGAAAACATCAAAAAATTCAAAATGAAAATTACAGTTTACAGTTTACAGTTTACAGTTTATAGTTTACAGTTTACAGTTTTTCAATTTAAAACCTGTAATTTATGTAATGCACTAAAAAACGAGTTGAAACTTTGTCACATTTGACACCAATGACGTTCTTCAATATCTCATTGCCACATATTGTACTTAATAATGTATTTGCCAATTAGTTCTATAACCCTCCTTGCACTGACCTGCTCCGACATAATCCACTCGAATGAAGTACATGCATCAGTGTACTGTCCCATCTTGACGAACAGAATACCAATATTGTGCATAATCTTTGGAAATAAGGATTTAAACTGAAATAGATAAAAAATATGTCTTATTGTTGCCGCTGAACCTTAAAGAACTACCGAACTTCGTTTAGTGATATTAAAAAAAAATTTGAAAATCATTCGAAAAAGTAAATCATAGTTCTCTCTCTTCTATGGGAGAAAACGGCAAATATTATTAAATAAAATCCCCTAAAAAATAGAACCACGCCCCTTTGCTTTCACTATTTTTTTAAACATTTTTTAATCAATAAATTTTTAGTCGGAATGTTACATGAGTACTTTCGATGTTGGCGACGAGGGGGGCAGTACCCCTGTGCCCCCCTGGACATGCATCCCCCTAGGCCCCCCTCCACTAGAGCCAGAGGCAGACTCTAATTTATCAAACAGTAAACTTACATATATATTCAGATTTTTTACTTTTCTTATCAATCGACAATGTCACAATTTGTCCATTTTATGATTATTTCTCAAATTCTAAACAAAATTTATTAGATCCCTAAACAACAATAAATCCAACGTAAAACCGTCACATTGTGTTTTACACAAACTATAGAAAAAAAATATTTTCAATTTCTTAAAGAAATGGAAACCCTTCAAGGAAGACCAAGTTCTAATAATTATAGAGAATGCAACCAAACAAATATTTTTGATTCGATATTAAATATTATAAAATTATAGGTACCACGTGTATTTTTGATATAGAGTACGTGGATTTAACAATTCGGTCCTAGTTCGATCAGAATTTGACCGATTAAACATAAATATTTTGCCGTTTCTCCTTTATACTTTTTGTCACGCACCTCGGACCCTTTTGTAAAACTAAATTCAACTTAAAGTCTGAACGCGTCAACCTTGTTGCACCGGCTAGTCCTATTGAGTGTCTGCTTTATTTACCCAAACTGGGACCGGAAAGGTTGACCCGGCTCGGAAATTCAAATGTACTACAGCTGCTCGTGTTGTTGGCATATTAAATGAAAAAGTAGAAAAAGAAAACTTCGTAAGTTTAAATTAAATTAAAAATTAATAAAACCAAAACGGGATTGAATTCAAATAGAAGAAATCGAATACATATCTTGCCCTGGTTAGTCCAGGCTGAGCCATTGCAAGGGAACTAAAATAATACTTTAACGGGCATTTCTGGCTTTTTTAGTTTAAATTATTGTAATTTGTAGTGCAGACATGCATACAGTGTTAGAAGAAACACTTTGTAGTAATATAGAACTTACTGAAAGTTGTTCAAAATTTCGAACATATTATTCGAAATTAATGAACGTAATGTTAGTGATATAAAAATTTGTGAGATATCCAACATTATGCTCATAATTTTGAACAACAAGTTCATTATTACGAAATGGTTTCGGAATAAAATTTTTTTTTTTTTTCAATAGTTTGAAAAGAGCCAAGAGAGGTTGGAATGGGGGGGAGGAAGGGTGAGTTTGGTGAGTAACGATGTTAATAATGTTAAAAGAAATAACAAGTGACACTTTCTAAAATAAGAGAAAAGTTTTCTTGCAACTTCTAGTTTTCTAACTAGCTTTCAAACTCTCTAGTGCTTTGCGTCTCATCCTGGAGATATCTTTCAATAATGACAACCAATTTGGTCATTAGCCGCGCCCCCTCCCCCCGGCAAATTTTTAATTAAGTCAATTCAAAACCTGAATTTGTCATGCAGTAGTACATTTGATTAAAAAGCATTCCACTGTAACCATATTTCCTTAAAACACGTTTTCATTTTTTCTTCCAAACTTCATTTTCCTTCCAGGCCTTCCATATATATTTTAATTGAAAGCAAATACATCAATTACAATTTATAAGTACACAAGTTTTAAAAGTAGGAATATTTGAGAAAGAACCTATGTATATATATCTTAATCAACGTTTTCACAAATTTGGAAAATGAAATAATCGTAAAAAATAGATTTAAATCCGAATATTTTCCTTAATTCTGAGACTTTTCTGTGTATTTGGAACCTGGTCCAGAGCCATTCTGTAGTATTTGATCGCTTTGCTAAACTGTCCAGTCTACAAACAAACAAAATAGCTTGACCATTTCTTTAGGTTTTTATTTAGATTAAAGCTATTTTCAATTCGTTTTATTATACTAGCGAAAAAATGATCCTAAATATCAAATAGGCGACATTTAATTAAAGACAAAACTTACACAAATCAAAACTCATTCAGTAGTTAGCGAATAAAAAAATATATATATCATTAGAGAGGTAGATTTTTCAATCTTAAAAAATATGTTGATAGGTTATTCAAAAGATGCGCTGAACATCTTCATTATTTGTTTGTTGATAATTCAAGAGTTATTTAATGTGAGGTGTTTTATGATTATAATCAACAGATATGTTTTTTACAATTTTAACATTTTTAAATTTAGTATTTAAAGACGAAATTAATCTTCGTTCAACACAAAATGGCAAAAATCTGAATGAAATTTAGAATTGTAAAAATCTTAAACTTTTTAAAACTGTATTAAACTCTATAGCTGATGACAAATAAAATTGAATATAATCAATTTCAAAAGAAATTGATATCTAATTCATCCTTGATCAGACAAAGTTATAATGGTACTGTTGTGAATCCGACATGCACTTTACAAATTACGAGTCAATTGAAATTTGGTCTACAGCAGTCTTTTTAATAGTAAACACTTATTAAACTTATTGTCAACATAATTGTAAGAAACACCACAGTTCACAGTTTCACATTATAAACATAAAGTGTAAAGGAATGAAAGTATTCTGAATAAAGTGAATATATAATGGAAAGGGAATAAGATAAAGTGTAAAGGAATGAAAGTATTCTGAATAAAGTGAATATATAATGGAAAGGGAATAAGATAAAGTGAAAAGGAATGAAAGCATCCTGAATAAAGTGAATATATAATGGAAAGGGAATAAGATAAAGTGTAAAGGAATGAAAGCATCCTGAATAAAGTGAATATATAATGGAAAGGGAATAAGATAAAGTGAAAAGGAATAAAAGTATTCTGAATAAAGTGAATATATAATGGAAAGTGAATAAGATAAAGTGTAAAAGAATGAAGGCATCCTGAATAAAGTGAATATATAATGGAAAGTGAATAAGATAAAGTGTAAAGGAATGAAAGTATCCTGAATAAAGTGAATATATAATGGAAAGGGAATAAGGTAAAGTGTAAAGGAATAAAAGTATTTTGAATAAAGTGAATATATAATGGAAAGGGAATAAGATAAAGTGTAAAGGAATAAAAGTATTTTGAATAAAGGGAATAAATGCTTTGTTTACCTTAAAGTATATATTTCCCATATTCACTTTCAGCCTACCGGCATTGTTAAACATTCGATTCTTAGTGATAACCTAGAATACATAAAGAGTGTAAGTTAGGAGGGGATATGGCCGGGGGGCACCCGGCACCCACAAATAGATATAGGTTTTATTATCACCAGCATTGTTGTTCTATTCTTATTAACATTTTTAAATCTGAATCTTTAAAAAATCCTAAGTTTTATTGAGTCATTGAATAATTTTCAAATTCAGGAGCTAGGTGATTGATTGATTAATAGATCAAATATTTGATTTATGTTTTTTATTTGATTGATAGAATAATACCTGACCAATATATTGCGAATTCATGAGATATTTTGTTGATTAATTTGGATTTAGGATTTCTCAAGTAATCGATTGATTGATATATATGTTAATTACCTGGTAAGTGTTTAAAGCTTCAGTAAACATATCATTATTCTCATATTGTGTAGCGAGGTTAAACAGTACACTGTAATAATAAATATGATAATAATAATAATTATAATAATAAATATTAGCATAACAATGATAATATAATAATAATAATAATAATAATTATAATAATAAATATTAGCATAACAATGATAATATAACAATAATAATAATTATAATAATAAATATTAGCATAACAATGATAATATAATAATAATAATAATTATAATAATAAATATTAGCATAACAATGATAATATAATAATAATAATAATAATAAAAGCATTTTCCAAAGCAACAACTTCCCAAGTGACAATTTTACAACTGGTAACTTCCTACAAGTGTGAAATTTCCCAAGCGACAACTTCCCAAAGGTTAGGTTAACTTTCTGGGGAGCTTCAGGCTGCAATGGGGGCCGGCGCGGTGTCTATGATAGACTAGGGGTCGAGCGTGGCGGCTGGACCAGGCTAGGGGCCGAGTGCTGAGGCTATGACAGAATTGGTATGGGAAATTGCACTTTGGGGAAGTTGCCGCATAAGAAAATGAATATGGGAAATCACCTAACATCAATGGTAATGATGACAACAGAAATAATTTGAAAATAAATATTTAAAGGGACTGTAGACAAAATTTTAATGTCTGCTTAACAATGTTTTACACTTTAAACCTATGCCTGAAAAAAGCTGACTCCGTTTTTTAAATATATTTTTTAAATTTTGGGTTCTTTTTTAAAGTGACTTGCGGATTCATACTGCAGGGACAAGGAATGAAATTGTAAGATTTTAAAACTTTTTAAAAAAATTAAAAATCCTAATTTTTACTAGATAAATTTTGTGTCACTTGTGCAAAGAATCTGCTAGACCCGCCTGCTCTCGCAATCTAATCAAACTCCTCTCCTACAAATATATACAGATACAGTGGGACCCATAAACTGTGGACTAGGAAGACGATATCTAATCTATTATGTATATGATTAAATTATTTTTTGTGGCTTTTAAAACTTTTTTGTCTAATAAGCCATCCAACTGATAACTACCAAACCAAATAGAAATTTCAAAATGAAAATGCAAAAATTCAGAGAGTGAAAATTGTAATGAAATCCACTATGTTAGGATTATGTTTCAAAGTTCACATTATTTGAAAAATTAAAGGAAAAATTTTTTAAAATAAATTCTTTTGATAATTTCCAATATTTTTACCTTGGCAGATGCATCTTTAGCTCTATCAAGGGCAATCTTGTTTTCTCTTCTTAAAATCATAAATTTTTTATAATAATTCATTAACTTCTTAATTCATCAAATCAGCAATACATTAATTCATTATAGCTAGCTCAACAATCCTTTTAGAATTAATTCATTATTAATTAATATTAACTTTTCAATTAAATGATTTGTCAATTTACTAGATAATAAATTCATTACATTTTCATTAAATTACGATTTACAAACTAACAAACTAATCAATTAATCAAATCAACTCATTCAATTAGAAATTCAGTAATTTATCGATTCTTTAATTATAATTTCTGAAAACTAACATAATCAAATGATGTAATTTAGCCCGATATCCAAGTAAAAAGCTTGAACTTTATTCACAGTACGGTATATCTAACTGTAAGCTTAAATGCCCATGTACACTGTACAGTACGATACATCAGAAAAGAAACCTTGAATATTCATGCACAGTACATTAAATGGCCGGTACGGTACCTTGATGCCGCCATACAGCTTTCTTCGACCAGTAAACTGATTTTTCTCTCCAGAACTTTAATTTTTTCCTCTGGGGTTTCATTAGGTTTTACCAGCTGCTCCTACAAATTGAGCACATACAAGTAAAATGTTTTTCCCAAAAAAAAATCAAAATAATTTTAAGAAACTGAGTCTTTGTACAGGAGATTAAAATATGAATTTTAATACAGATTAATGAGTAAAAAATAAATCATTTCTACGAGAAAATTAAGAAGAAAGTTTTAATCTAAATAACAACATAAGTGATAATTATTTCACTCTTTTTAATAATTTTAAAATTCATATATTTACCGGAGCATTATGTGTTTTTGTTGCTGCCTGATTTAAGGGATCAAACATTCGGCGTCCCTGAATACAAATTAATTTTGAACAAGATAGCAGACTTCAGATGGAAAAGCCCAAGGTTATAATGCAAGGAAAGTTAATTGCAGTTGCATATACTCTGCGTACATATTGAAACCAGTTCTCTCTGGGAGGAATTTCTAAACAAAAATTGATGCGTCAGTCTTTGTTTAGTATCCNAATCTACGAATGATTGCAATCAGAATGATTGCAAATGAATTTTATTTTAAAAAGGTTTGTTTGCAAATTGTTCCACTTTTGTTTACGTTGAATATAACTTTAACAGTCATGGGACCCCAAATAGTTTAATTTAATCCCACTAGGAAGATATTATTCGCTTGGTGTACTGTATCGTATTGCCTTGTATAGTCTTATTGTTTACTGTTCCTGTCCTAGCTGCCCAAAGGCCGGTTCGGGATTTCAAAATAACCGAAATTTACAGTGAGTTTTAATATACCTGTCATAGGTCGACCCATGCTGCTAGAGAGCTTTCCAGTCCCCAGCCGTCCAACTTAACAAGCAGATACGATATAAGATGGATACTAAGGATAAGACTTAGATGCAAACTATTTAAATTCAACAATCTGAAGGTAAGATGTATTCTAATGTGTTTAATAAAGTCTTTGCGAGGTATTATTAATAAATTGTCAAGGAAAAACGAAGTGTACAGTTTGTAGCAATTAATGTAAGAAAATACTGAATAAATTGCGTATATACAGTATATGATCTGAAGTCCCGATTATTGTGGGTAACCCTAAAGCATGAAGTAAATGGAATACATAACATCGTTCAACATATTACACTTATCATACAAAATTGCAATTGTTTAGTTTCGGAATTTTAAGAAATTGGAAAACAGTTGTTGAGAAAGCGTCCAAAAAAGTATCTGAGACTGGAAATACAGTTTTAAACACCAAAATTGAAGAATAAATTATGACAAGTAAAAATATTTAACCTATAGATATATTGTGTTTGTACAGGGTGTCCCAAAAAAACATAGGAATTCAGTGACAAATTGGATATCGTCTTTGTTATGAATTAGCATTGTAATACCTAATTTCAAAAGCCACAATATTATTATGTCTGCTAGAGTTTATTTTAAGAAAAGGGTAAAAGATTGTAAAGATGTGTCTATCATGTCTCCGCAAGATGAACAGTGAAGACGGACAAGTTTACTCTGTTTGTTTACTGCAATTTTCTTGTTTTACTAAGTACAACCGTATGCAGTCAAAACATAAACAAAGGTAAATAATTTATTTTCATGTAACCCTAAAGGGAAGGGAATAAATCCAAGCTTGATCAGCTGACACAAGCCAACATAGGCCAGAGGTAATGGAAAGAAGCTGAACTGTATATTGATAGTTAAACTACTTCTTTAGTGTGGCCGACAGGTGAAAAAATAGTAGTTCAACCAGCAATACCAAGTTCAACCAATAACCGCGATTCACTAAACCTTCTTAAAAGTTGTTACATACAGGGTGTCCCACGAAACATGACAGTTGGTGAATAGTTTTGAATGTCTGCTTCCATATATTATATTAAACATTAAGACTTTTTGCAGTTTATTTCGCTAAGAAAACTTTTAATCAAATATATTTTACTTTGAAATCAATTTGACTATAATATGACTTCCAAGTGTCATATTTGTTATTCTTTCTGTTTGGTATCAAAGCATTTCGCAAATTATGGAAGAAGACATTTTAAACTATTCACCAACTGTCATGTTTCGTGGTACACCCAGTAGCAGAATTTTAAAACAGGTTTATTCTTCTCATTAGCTCTTTAACAAGAGAAGTTATGATTAAGAACAGATAAGATTTCAATCTTAAGTGAAATTTACTTTAGTTTAACGTGATTACCCAAATCTTCTGTATTTAGTTCCGGAGCAATATCTTCTCTTCCATATCCAGAGTATAGATCATCATCTTCTCCAGCTAGATGCAGATTCATCATTTCTCCTTTAAAGTACACAGTACATATACAGTACATATACAGTACACAGTACATACACAGTACACATAGAGTACATATACAGTACATATCCAGAGTATAGATCATCATCTTCTCCAGCTAGATGCAGATTCATCATTTCTCCTTTATAGTACACAGTACACATACAGTACATAAACATTACACAGTACATACACAGTACATATAAAGTAAATATACAGTACATATACAGTGCATATCCGGAGTATAGATCATCATCCTCTCCAGCTAGATGCAGATTCATCCTTTATAGTACACAGTACACATACAGTACATATACAGTACACAGTACACAGTACATACACAGTACATATACATTACATAAACATTACACAGTACATACACAGGACTTATACAGTTTATATCAAGTACATACACAGTACATGTACAGTACACAGTACATTTACAGTAAATATAAAGTACATTAACAGTACACTTAGTGCATTAACAGTACACTTAGTACATATAAAGTACATATACAGTACATATAAAGTACATATATATATAGTACATATAAAGTACATATACAATATACATTTACAGTACACAGTACATATACAGTACATACACAGTATCTAAACAGTGCACTGTACATATACAGTACACAGTAGACAGTGGACAGTAGACAGTAGACAGTAGACAGTAGACAGTAGACAGTAGACAGTAGACAGTAGACAGTACACAGTACACAGTGCACAGTACATAGTAAACAGTACACAGTACATATACAGTACACAGTATATATGCAGTACACAGGACATATATAGTACAAAGTACAAAGTATCCTTGTATCCTTTCTCTATCAGACTATGTGTTTCCTTGAATTCTACCCATGTAAGACTGTATCCCTGTATCCAACCCTTTTTAGATTGTGTATCCTTGTATCCTGCCCATGTTAGACTGTGTATTCTTGTATCCTACCATTGTTATGACTGTGTATCCCTACATCCTACCCTTGTTAAACTTTCTATCCTTGTATCCTATTCTTGTAAGACTGTGTATCCTTGTATTCTATCCTGGTTAGACTGTGTAACCTTGTATCCTACCCTTGTTAAACTGTATATCCTTGTATCCTACCCTTGTTAGACTGTATATCCCTGTATATTACCCTTGTTAGACAGTGTATCCTTGTAGACTACCCTTGTAAGACTGTGTATCATTGCATACTACCCTTGATAGACTGTGCTTCCTTGTATACTACCCTTGTTAGACTGTGTATCCTTATATCCTACCCTTGTTTGACTGTGTATCATTGTATCCTACCCTTGTTAGACTGTGTATCCTTGTATCCTACCCCTGTCAGACTATGTATCCTAATATCCTACCCTTGTTAGACTATGTATCCAAGTATCCTACCCTTGTTAGACTGTGTATCATTGTATCCTACCCTTGTTAGACTGTGTATCCTTGTATCCTACCCTTGTTAGACTGTGTATCCTTGTATCCCTCTCCGAAATCTGGGAACTCTGATGATGGTCTACGTGGTAAGTTCAAGTCCTCTTTCAACTGAATTAATGTCAAATTAGTACAAATATACACGCTATCGTAGCAAGCAGCGGGTAATCACCCCCCCCCCCCATTCATAGTATGACATATCAAAGGTCTACGACACCGCGGGTGAAAAGATAAAGGGATTTTGTAGAAATAAAACTCACTTCCTTTTCTCAAATTTTGCATAATAATTTGCATTCCTATTTCTTCGTGGAACTACTGTGGTAGGAGATTATATCAATATAATAAAGACGACTTTAGATTTGAATTTTGATTTATATCAAGCTTTTAAACAGCATGGATGCACAAAAACATGGAAACAAAAAGAAGCGCTGTTAATTAAAAAGCTTCTCTTTAATTACTTTTAAACTCGTAATTCAAAAAAATTGTGAAAAATTGTTTCAAAACTTTCAATTTATTCTTACCTTAGTTTTAGATCCAAAACCCAGGGTATCTCTGAGGATTCTTCGGTTTGGTTTTTTAGACTTTTCCTTCTCGATTGCTGATAAAACATGAAAATTAACACGTTATTTCCTGTTTATTCTGTTTCCTAAACATGAGCCATCTCTTCTGGAAAATTAAAAATGAAAACCTCTACCCTTTCCCTCTCCATGTACAGATGGTTCCCTCTAATGTACTGTGTACATAATGTGAGCGTAAAGTTACCTCTCTTTCTGTCTTCTGGTAGAAGTCTTCTTCTCCCAACCTTCTTATTAACAGTATTATCCTCAGATTCTGAACTATCCCCTCCTTCTACACTCTTCTGACGGGGACCCTGTTCAATAAACAGTATTATCCTCAGATTCTGAACTATCTCCTCCTTCTACACACTTTGTATTGGGACCCTGTTTAATAAATAAAACATGACATAATGACCTATGAGAGTTTTATTAAGGAGAGGGAGTCTATAAATTTTATGACAACCCAGAAACTACAGGGTGTCCCATTAAACATGGCATAGTTGAGACAACTCAATAATCGTCTTTAATCTTTGATATTTATCTAATTACAAAATTTTGCATCAAAAAATAAAACAACTTTGTAAGGGGTCCGAAATATGGTGTACCTTCTAAAGAGCTGTAAACCTAGGAAACCTTTTTCTTTTTTATGCACAATACTACTTAGATACGATGAGAACCAGAAAACTGTGTAATATGAAGAAGACGTTTAAGTAATAATTAAGTGTATTTGATTTAGTAACAAGCAAGAAGTTTTAGTAATAGCTTAAATAACAACTCATTAAGTGAAATGGGTCTGTTAACTTAATTACAGTGTCTCGTGTTTATTGGACTATTTAAAGTAAAATTGAGTCTTAAAGTCGTCTTCCTAATCCAGAATTTTCTAATTCTCACTGTAGCCTTTAACGATTAAAGTCGAGATCGTACAGTCTTCTCTCAACTGTCATGTTTATCGAGACAACCTGTAGTTTTATTGTTAACAAAGAAAAACATTGTAAGTAACATCCGTAGCTACAATCTACATTTTACATTTAAAAGCTATTGATGCATTGTAAAGATTCCACTGTTTTCTGATGATAATTATCGTAGTATCTATAAATTCATATAATTTATCTAATGGTTCAGCTGTTACCATTTAACAACTTTCTTTTATTTAGCTGAAAAAGAAATGTTTTAACGTTAAAAAATATTGAAAAAATGTATTCAATATTGTTTTGAATTTTAATAAACATAATTATTTTAAGAATTGTAAAAGTATAAAAGTTGGATTAAATAGACGATAAGCATATTATTCTTTCAACATTTAAAAACTATGTATACATCTAAAACATTTTTATAATTATATATTCATATATTATAAACATATATTTATGTATCCCTAAGGAACCATAATTTAATCCTAAAGTTTTAAGTTCTTTAACTTAGATTTAGAATCAACTCTTTCATAAAGAAAGCTGCACATTCCTTGACTTTCCTTTTCGGTTTTTTGGAATCAAATAGATCAAAACTTAAATAAAGATTATTGATTAAAACAACTTTTAATTCTGATAAAGATTTTTATATTTTGTAAATATTTGATTAAAAATTGCGAGAACCAGAAAATTGTAAATTTGAGAGACGATATTAAAGCAATGTTCAAGTGTATTTGATGTTGTTATATCAAAGCAAAAAGTTTTACAATTATATTTAAAATCAAGTAAAGTAGTGTGTACAAGGGTGTACAGTTAGCATAGTAATTGGACCATTTAAATCTAAAAGTCGTCTTTCTATTCCACAGTTTTCCTTTTCTCACTGTAGTTGTGTTTACCTTAGAATATGATTGTGGCAGAACTCCACTGGTTACCATACGAAAATATTCAAGCATTTCCAATCACATGCGTATACTTGAACTACGAAACTATTATTGATGTTACACATGACTTTCTCACGTATGCCTGTAATAGGCGTAAACAAGCCAATAAATAATTGTTATGGTTGTATACTAGGTTCTGCAGTCCTGAATAATATTCTAATGGTATTTAGAAAGCTGGCAAATACTACCTGGATACATCCAGACAGACACCGGTACACACGGACACATACTGGTATAACACACTATATTCATCATTAATATTTGTCTAAAGCAAAATTACATAAAACAATATAAAAGTTTACATTTTCATACTAATACTTTTTTCTCTGGATAACGCATTTTATGATTGACAGGGTTTGTCACAAAACAGGTGCAATGCAAGACTTTTAGTATGAGTATATTTTGGTTATTCAGAGGTGGTTTGATCGATTTTTGCACATTGCTTTGAAACTAACACTGGGTTTGCAGAACTTATGCAGTTTCTTTAGATTTACTTTATTTGATGGTGAGATATATCCTCTTGAGCTGATACTTGTTCGATCATACTTGTTAATCTTCTGAGCGTTGACATTTTTGATATTTGTTTCCAATGGGACAGTAAGCTCAAAAATATCCATCTTTTCCTCCATTCTATCGATAGTTACTAGATCTGGTTTCTGTGCGGTCACAATGAAGTTTTGGGGAACAGTATCTCCCCCATGGGACGGGATATGTTGGCGTACACTGGAGGGATTCAAATATCCAAGGGAGTTTTAAATTCAGATAACCATCCAGGAGGTTTATAATTCCACGGGGGGGGGCTCAGATATTCTTCCAGGTTTTTTTTTAATTCCCTGGAGTAAGTTTGGCGTTAGGTGCCCTTGGGCAGGTACTTGTGTAAACTCTTTATACAATACACGATAACATAATGGAATGTAAACACAACAGATCTCGAATATACAGGTATTCCCATACTAGATGAAAAGAATTTTTTTTTGATGAATTTCAAGATTGAACAAATCAATAAATATTTTATGTTATAATTCATAATACACTGTTGAAAAAAAAACATTTTGTCGTAATATAAAAATACCAAATGAATAACGAACATTGTGATCGAAATTTTGAACAGATTGTAAAAGATTTAAAAAATTGTGAGATTACCCTAACATTGTTTTCGTAATTTGGAACAAAGCGGTAGAAATAAAAATAGACACAGAATCTAATTGTACAGAAAATGAGATTTTAATTTAATTATATTAGAAAAATGTTCTCAAATAAAGCAACTATAAAAAGCTAAATTATTACTGAAAAATGGGCGCAATGCCCCCTGGTTACGGGGGCTGGTAAAATAATACCTCGCCTCCCTTCAACCAGTAGGATTAAAGGGGAGGGGCACACGCCTCCTATAGTTGTAAAACAACACACATATTGATTAAACTTATCATTGTTTTAAGTAATATTTTTGCACACTGCACTCGACGATTTTTCTCCTTGTAATTTTCAAGGAAAAATTTAATTTTCCAGTAGTTTGAAGCAATTGAAGGCAAAATAGCTTAAGAAAGAGTTGTTGAAACTTAAGCGGGGCGTCATTGATTAGATGATTAGTTGAGTGGTTAGTTAGGTGATTGATTTATTAATTAATGTTTTTTCCGTTCGTTAACGGACTCTTCTGTTAATTTTCGATAACAGTTGACAGAACTTTGCCCAGCCCTGAATTGGTTAACTGGTAAAAATCATAGATAAATAAATAAACATAGATAGCTTATGTACGCAAAATCACCAAGAATTGTACAGTCCGCGAACTCATACTTCTAGGGGTCAAAGTGTACTTCAATAATAAGCTGCGTGGTTTGGAGTTTTAATGGATTTCATAATAGAGTGTAAAATAACTCCGGGAATGGAACTATTTGAACAACAATATTTCACTGAGCAATATATCATATTGACGAGAACTGAAGGGCATGAGAAGGACTAAACTAACTTAAATTTCTCTCTACAGAACTCATGTACACAACAAGTACTCAATGACATAAGAACAGCCAATATTAACAACCGACCTAGTTAATCTATATAATAGGAATATCTTTAAAACATCTCTGTACATTTATATCTTTCAAGGTGAAAAATGTCGTCTTATGCGCAATCTATCTTTATCTATGGTAAAAATGTTCCAATGCAAACAAGTGCTATTGCGACGAGGGTTAATGCTTTCTCAAAGGAAAAAACCTTGGGATGTTTCCTAAACAATCAAAATAAAATAATTTTGAAAACGTACGTTTTTTACGTTAATGAATTTAATGTTTACCTTCAAAATATATGTTAAAGAGGATTTTAAAAAAATCTAATTTCCATGTTTAAAGTTGGTGAAACCAAGTAAATTCATTATTTTAAAAGTTGTATATTAGTTGAAATTTAAGTTATGCTTTTTATTTCGCTTCATTTACATTCTTCTACGTAAACCATCGAAGAACAAGTTAACGATAAAAGATATTTCTGTTTAAGTTTTCAAGTAGTTTTTAAAGAGCTTGTTTTTGGAAATTTAAATGTGACCCTTCATTTTTAGATTCAATCCACAGAGCTGCCCTTAAATATTTTTGAGATATCATTGTTTTCCTAGCTTTAAATTCTCTATAAATGTGAGTTGTAGTCTGCGGATTTATACTAAAGAGACAATGAAGGATATTTTCAGATTCAACATTGAACACGACAATATCCTTTCTTTTCTCAGCTAGAGGTTTAATGGATTGATCCATGCCATTCTTTAATGAATGGACACTTGAAATTACGTCTGCAGTCCCTTTCAGATGCCCCCTAAAAATACTACTGGTTAGGTACGATTACGACGAGGGAAGGAAGGCCAGCCACGACTATTTCTCGTCCGAGCCATATTCTCCTCATTTTCTTGTTCAAGCCACCTATAAATCCTCGTCCTTCGATTATTGTGTTTTAAAGTTTCTAATTATTGAAGATATAACTATTTTTTTTAATCTGGCCACGTTAGGGCATACAATATGGATCGACTAGAGTATTGCAATGATCTTTAAAGCCATGAGAGCAATGTCATTTATCATTTTCCTCATGGCACCTCTGAAAAATTCTATGGTTTTCACTATAATTCTTTAATGAATGGTTGCTTGAAATTACGTCTACAGCCCCTTTCAATCAGTTGCCCCCTATAAATTAAACTGCTTGTTAGGTACGATTACGAACACTTAACGATTGTATGTTTTAAAGTTTCTAATTCTTGAAGATAAAACTATTTTTTCAAAATCTGGCCACGTTAGGGCATAACATATGGATAGACTAAAGTATTGCAATGATTACATCATGTTGGAATCTTTAAAGCCATGAGAACGATGTCAAACTTTATTTAGGTAAAACTTCTCTTCTGCCTCCGTAATGGCCAACCTTCGTGATATAAAATAAATAGCAAAATATTTGGTATACCTCTGCCTATCATTTTCCACATGACACCACGGAAAAATTCTATGGTTTTCATTATAATTAACAGAGAAGATTAAAGTTCTATAAACTCGGTTATTTGCGGCATTCTACTCTAGGAATATCTGAAAATGCGAGTAAAGGTGAACATTTTATAGGACATTGAACTCAAAAATTTTAGTTCAATTGAAAAAATTTTTTCTATTCACAAAAAATCAATATTTCTTTTATGCCCTCTTAACGTGGCCCAATTCTTAATCTTGGAGGATTAGACACTTTTTTATTTTTTAAGTCAGTTTTCAGACATTGCGCGAATGTTTTTTTTGAAAAAAATATTGGATTCGGTTCAAACATGTTGTAAAGATCACAGCACACGACCAAATTTGAGCCATACTGCAACTTTGGCATACCGACCAATTGTTATGACCATACAATTTAGAAAAAAGTTTTTTTTTCTTTAAATACAATGGGTAGTTAATTCCCTAGTAAACGTAGAATCGATTTTTCATTTTTCATGGCCTACCTAAGCATTATCTTTAATCTAGTATGAATCTAGTTAATCATGGTTTTTAATCTAATTATGGCGAAGTCAAGAAATTTATCAATAAAATGTGTATATTCACTACCATAGTTTCCTTTGTATGGCAAGTTCAAAAATAGTGAATAAAGATTAGTTTAAAGATGAAAAAAAAAGTTAAATCATTGACAATTTAATCCCATCATTTTCAGTTTAAAGTTAATTTTAACGAATTACTTTAGTTAATTTGTAAATATAAAAACCAACCATAAAATAATAATTTCTTGTTTCACGCAAAATTAAAATATATTATAATGTTTAAGATTATCTGGATATATATATTTATAATTTAAAGATTTAAAAATATTTTGGTTTCTCTCCTATTTTTCACCAATCTTAGAAATAAGAACCTTGATTTGATTAATTTTCTTTTTTTCTTTTATTTTCAGTAGATAACAAAATTCCAAAATTATTAATTTTCTTCTGCAGAGCTTCCTAGTCCAATATCCTTCCCTAACCGAAGGGCTAGAACTTCCATCAGATTCAATCTAGAAAGAAAATTGAGTTATTGCCACAAAATCAAATTTTCTAATCCCAATATCTTTGCTACCAAATGTCGTGAACCTTTGATATTCAAACTGTAAATTCTGTTAAGTCAAATATTTTAAGTTTAAAATATTAAGGTTTACACCATCAGGTTGCAAAGAAGTGATAATGAGATAATGAGATAATAATGATAATAATGATAATGATGATAATAATAATGAAGATAATAATAAGATTATGATAATAATAATGATAATAATGATGATGATACCAATGATGATAATAATGATGATAATAGTGATAATAATAATAATAATAATGATGATAATAATGATTATGATAATGATGATGATAATAATGATTATGATAATGATGATGATAATAATGATTATGATAATGATGATGATGATAATAATGATGATGATAAAATGATGATGATAAAATGATGATGATAAAATGATGATGATAAAATGATGATGAAATTCGCAAAGACTTATTCTGTTCGACAGTGCATGTGCATTGTGCAATCTGACCCAAGTCAAATATCAAGGTTTTATAGTCAGTAGGCCATTACTTTCGAACCTTTTCCCTCCAATTCAATGTAGCATTTCGTTTCTTCAAAATTACAAAATACTTACAAAATAATATCTGGACCGAAGGATCCATGCCAAAATTATTTAATCATTTATTTTCCTAATGCATGTTTCCAATTCAGTTACATTCTAGAATACACAATTTACTAATATTTAATATTTATTATTAATAGTTATTTGATTTAAACTGATACATCAAAGATGAACGGCTAAAAAGATAACTTTAATATGAAATAACTAAATGAATAAAAATGTTAGACAATATATATATTTAGAAAAACTTGTTCATTTTATAATAAGTATGGGCCATAAAAATCAACTCATACACAGACTCCAGAGAAGAAGAAAAAGAAAGATATCTACCTTGATAAATGAAAGACTATCAAGATCTATTCTGAGTAAGTCCGTCCTACTCCGTGCAGTAAACCCAACCCTGAGATCATCTTCTGAAGCTCCAACCCAACCTATTAAATTTACTGTTGACTTCATGAAGAGTATATCTTAGTTTCATCTGAATAAAATTCCTTGAATTAAGAAAAGACTTCCTTAATAAAAAAAAACGTTCTTGAAAAATTAACAACAGAAGAGTGAGGACAACGATGATTGAAAACATCCTACCTGGAGAAAATGCACAGCTGCTAGTTTCCGAGGATCCTTGTCCTGCTGTACTGTGATCAGCTGATTCTATCATGTGATCAGCTGATTCTACCATGTGATCAGTTGGTTCTACCATGTTTCCAGCGGTTCCATCTTGGGTTGCCACTGTGCTCTGACAAATGTTTTCTTTAGGGTTCTTAAATTCACAGTTTTTTGTTGTTGATATCACAGATTCATAACATAAATCTTTATTCAATTCATCATGAGAAACAGAAGAACCCTTTCCAGTCAGGACTTCTGAATTGTTCTTAAACAAGGCATTACATGCATTTGTAGAAAACTCAGCATGTTCAAGAGATTTTCTTTCCAATTGTGTACTTTCTGAACCCTTTAAAGTAGGACTGGTCATTTGGATTTTTTTTGCCATTATAATACAATACAATTGTATAAAGAGAGAAATTTGACTTATAGGTGGAACAGGATAATTTGTTTGGGGAAAGGGTTGTGGGATTTCATTCTTAATTAGAAGGAAATTCTAGAATTTAAAATCCCTTTTGATAAAATCACGGCATTTTCAAAAACAGAAGACAACATTCAATAGCACAAAAAACAGGTAATTTATTTCTTATTTTCTGAAGGGGTCGTTCATGCAGAATAATTAACGAAAGTCGCCATTATCTTTAAAATCCTGCCGTTATAGTCAAAATAAAATTCCCAGCCATACCCTTAATATTTCATCGTTGTCCTCATCTTGCTCACCGCTACGAAGTAATTCATCAAAGTTCTTAATAAGTACTTAAAAACAAAAACTTAAACTTAAACTTAAAAGGAAGAAATTAAAGGGACTGTCGTTGTAATTTCAATTGAGCTTCCATTACAAGACCAATTTGTTTTTGTAACTTTTTAACATTCCCCTCCATTTGTTCTTAAAGGGAGTGTTCTCGAAAAATGAAAGGGTTTTAGGCTTAGGGTTTAGTTGCGATCAAAAGCGCTTATTTATTGCCATAAGCCTATACCCCCTTTCATTTTTCCCAAACACTCCCTTTAAGCAGAAGTCCGGAAAGTAAATTTAATGAGAACTCACAATTGAAAAGGATAAATTTTCAAAGAGAAAATGATGGATTCTAGATAAAACAAAACTTTTACCGTACCCATGTCACGTGACATGAAACGTTAAATTTCGTCTAAAGACCCTTTTAGACAGTAATTTCTTGTACTGGACAAACTAATTCATAAAGAGAAATATTTTACAAATACTTTATAATAATCTAAAAAACAAATTATATATTTCTTGAATTTCTCCCTAGGGTTATCGTAGGCTTGAATAAAAGGTTTAATGTCTAGAACAGGAGTTCCATCTATCATATCTATCCCTAAATTATATTAAAGTTTAAATAGATATAAATGTTTATAAATTTAAATATTTAGAATTTTGAAGAAAACAATTCGATAAACAAAAATTTTTTTTAGCCTTTGCTATCCCCAGTATACTCAAGGGTTGATCCTGCCCAGTGGCACAACTTGCACTTTTGTGAAAGAAGAGGGGGGCGGAATTTGAAGGACTGGGGCTGACGAAAAAAAAGCGCTGTAATAAGGATTGGAAGTAAAAAACAGCATTTTTTAATTGTTGGAAGGATTGGCTCTGTGGTCAATAATATACCATTCTTATAATATCCATGGCTTGTTCTTGTGATTAAAAAAAATACACGTCCAACAGCTTTAAAATAAACGACCAAAGTAAAATAATACCATGTGCGCGAAGCGCCAAAAATTCTTAGTGTCTGTTAGTCCCTGGCGTAGTCATATTCACTATGTATATAAAGTCCCCTATTACAGTCTCCAGCAGTTTTTGTAATTCATCAATTAGTCATATTTGTCCACTATAGAGTAGAAATGTGCAGTCTTATAGTCGTAAGTAGTTCCCTGCGGTGCTTGACTATATTTCGTCTGTCCATAATCCGCTTAGTCTTTCTGATCGAAGTTCCTCTGTCCTTGTTTGCTAGTAAAGGGCTTATCCCTGGTTTCCTCTTATAGTCGACAAAAGTCTAACAGTCCGGTATAATTCATTTCTTGTTATTCTTCTTATATTGTCAGGTTTTGAGTAACATTAAATGGTATATGTATTGTAATACTCATGGTTAGAAGTAACATATGTATAATTTTTGTGAGAGGATAAATTAAGAATTCAACTGACTTTTGTTGCGTCAAAAATTTCTTTCTTAATTGAATACAGACGTCATGTATAGGAACATGTTGAGAAAATAAAAATTAATCTTATCATCGAAAATAAGTAATCTTGTTCAATTATTAGTTTCTATTTTCTCATTATTCTGGTTTCTCATTATTCACAAAGATTTTCTGCAGATTTTCTAGAATTATTATTGAAAAGACGACGTTTGAAGAATTTGAAGAAATCTGCGAATAAATTCAAAGAAAATAAATAATTCAATATAATAATGAAAACGAAATAATCGATTTCGAAATTAATTTATTGACAAATTTCTTTTGAGAAATATGTTCCTAACCATCTAATTAGATTACTGTATAATTTTTACTTTATTTTTCGTTGTCGATATTTAATAATTAAAAAAAAAAACTAATTCGGAAAACGTATCCACCCCCAAAGTAGGAGTTCTGAACGTCGAATTTGCGCTCGAACTCAGGATTTACAGATATTTTAAAGAAAGTTTAATATGTCTCAAATGAAGAAGTTTTCCACAACACTGCATACTCAGTTCAACTACCTCGCATAGCCGGTCACTCCCTTTAAGCTTTTTTATTCAAGTGTTCTGAAAAGTGTGCATACAGTATTCGATCAAGGAGGGGGTTGTAATTATTCAAGTTTTCGGTACAGTGTACACGCTGATTTATCAGTTGATTGCAGTGCAATGCTTGGGATCCATTTCATTTTGACGCAGATCCGGGATCCGCCCTGAAAACAAATGGATCTCCAAGTCCTGAACAATGAACATTTCTTCAAGATTTATTTACTTACTTTCTTAAATTTTTTCGGTAACTTTTTATGCTGAAAATTTACGAACTATTCAGAGATTGGACATTTTTTATTAATCTCTTTTTAGTAACAATTCAGATTTGGGTTTTTTTTGATAAAAAATTAATTATTTAGCAGGCGTTGGCTGATATTTTACCCGGATCAGCATATTTTAGCGGATCCGGATCAAGGAAGCCAAATTGTTGTGGATTTAACGGATCCGGATCCTAAACGCTGTTAAAATGGATTGGTATGATTTATACCTATTGGGTTTGGTCGATGAGGACTTCGGGTTGAAAACACGCCGACTCGTCGCCCTTTCAGCCGAGGTGGGGAAACCTAAACTCAAATGTCCTGAATAGTCCATTTTCACAAATTAAATGTGAAAAATTTCGAATATTCTATTGTATGTTTAATTTTTGGATTATAAATTTAGAATATTTTGGTCTCCCAAATTTAACCGACCCTTTAAAAGAATAGTTTACTTAACGGTTCGCGCCAGAGTGCCCTTAAATCCTTTATTAAAACGAGCAGCGCAAAAAAAGCCGGCATTTAATAAAATATTTAATGACACCAAAAAATGCAGCTAACTATGAAACTATTTATAAAATGGGGAGTGTAAACGTTATTTCAAGTGATACAGTACCCTTCAAGTGGCATGTCCGATTCACACCATTACCCATTTAATGATTGAGATAATCTTATTTTCAATTGTAAAAAGTGACCAGTAGACTGTAGAGTGCAGGCAGAGGCAATAAACAAATTGTCATAATTTACAATTTAAATTAAAAATGAAATTACGGTGGTTTATGCCCTGAACTAAATGCTGCCTTGAACAATGAACAATCAATTTTTGTTGAGTGGTAAGAAACTAAATACTAATCCCTGTATCTTTGCAACCTGATGGTGTAAACAATCGACATTTTAAACTTTGATTATTTGATCTATGAGAACTCAGTAAAGCTCACATCTCATAGTTTGGAATATATATCAAAGGTCTTGGACATCAGGCTGTGAAGATGTAAGTATTAGAAGGTCGGAGTTTGTTGGGAGTTATCAGTTCTTTCGACCATTCGGCTTTGTTTGATGCAGCTTTAAAATCAAACTGAATCCAGTTTATCCAGTAACGTCAACCGAATTTAAAATATTGAAAATAGTGCCTAAAAAGATTAATGACATTGCTAGGGTTTCCACAAAAAAGTAGATTCTCTTGAGCAAATGTTTCGCGTTTTTGCAAGACTTTTTTTGCATGAAATTTCGCAACAACTTTGTATTAACACGAAACCAGTTTTGCACGAAATTGTGGATGATCATTCGACAAAAATATTTTTTTTTGCACGAAATTATGCATGAATATAGAATTTAAATCATCATTTTTTCATGATTTTGCGCATGAATACTAGGTCATAGTTTTTGCACGAAATTGCTCATGATAACGAAAGCTAATAATTTTGTATAAAATGAGGAGCAGGAATAAGAAAATAGGGAAAAGACGTGAATTAGTTTCAGTTAAAATAATTCTTCAAAAGCTGGAATATTTGATTCATGAACAATAATGAAATTATTATCATATTCATAGTTTAGACAGTGTTAAAATTTTGATTTTCTTTCATTAATAAATTTGTCGTGATATGTGATATGCGATATGTTTTAAGAAAACGCTGAAAAGGTTACACATTTCTCTTGTTTTTTGTCTGCTTGCTTGACTTATCTTCTTCGGCTGAACCAAATTATCTTTTTGTCACAAGCTCTGACTTTCTAACCCCCATATTTTTGCAACTCGATGTCGTTGACCTTTGATATGAATTATGTGAGATTAAATTGTCTAAGTTTGAAAAATCAAAGCTTTGCACAATTATATTGCAAAGATTTAGGGATAAGACAATTTGAGTGTGTGGCAACAACTCAGTTCCTTTGTGTGCAAGAACCCCTGAGTGATTAAATCATTCATTTCTTGAAATTGTTTCTCAAAATATTACGAAATAGCTGGAGATTATGAAATAGGTCGAAATAACGAATAAGAAGGAAACATTAAAATGCGCAAAAACCAAGATTTTCTTTAGAATTTGCGCGAAATAGCTTTTGCGCATTAATGCGAAATTATATCAAAATTTTGTGCAGTTTTTACTCAAAACGTAAGAAAATCTTTGCACAATTATTGCACGATTTTGTGCAAAACATTTCGATTGGAAAACCCTAGACAGTGCCCTGTAAACCTTTTTTAAACAAGCCGCACAAAAAAGCCGGCCTTGAATAAAAATGGAAAAAATGGCTATTTAGGAAGAAATCGTCATAATTTAAGATAAAAAACGACAATATCTTCCTCTTTGATAGATAGTGAATCGGATATGCTACTCTATAAATGAAGGGTCACTTTAAACTATGTATACAGTCCCTTAAGATGGAACATCGCGTCAAAATGACAACTAGATAGTTTAAAATGGCCAGTACCATAAAAATAATTTTTACCTTAGCCTTGACAGCATCATTTTTACTTTAGCCTTGACAGCATCATTTTTACCTTAGCCTTGACAGCATCATTTTTATCTTAGCCTTGACAGCATCATTTTTACCTTAGCCTTGACAGCATAATTTTTACCTTAGCCTTGACAGCATCATTTTTACCTTAGCCTTGACAGCATCATTTTTACCTTAGCCTTGACAGCATCATTTTGGTTTTGGTGAAACATCCAGAGAATCCATACATGAGAATATTCAGATACGTTCTCTTAACAAGAATTTTTTTTTTTGCGGAAAAAAAACTTACTCTGACCCTTTGATCTTAAATATTCGCTGGGTACCAAAGTACAAAAAGGTTTAGTTTGTTACAACAAGCCTTAAATAATGAAAAATGAGCAAGATTTGATATTTATACTGTGCCAGTATTGCCAGAGCTGTTACTGGGGTTGGGGAGGGGGTGTACTCAAGCACAATCCCTCCCCCCGGCCTCCCGTAGCATTAAGTTTGAGGAAAATTAGCAATTGTTTAATAAAACTTTTGCTAAGGGCCTGAGTTTGAAAAGTTTATATAAATATCACATCAAAATTTTTCACAATTTATCTCAAATGAAATGGGTTATGGGCTAAACTCGAATGGTATTTGAAATCGAGTAATATCCACCTTTTCTTTGTTTACAGAGGAGTAGTTCAGTATAATCCCGTAGCTATTATCATGCTTTTCTAGTATATACCCTTTTACTCTTGACAAACATTCCAGAAACGAAGCTGTTGTATTATTTAGGTATCTATTTTTCAAGATACGACTCACTGCATTACCTCAGTATGTATCAATCCAGATACAATACTCTCTGTATTATCTATTAATAGAGATACAACTCAGGTCCGGTACGTTCGCTACAGGAGAATGGATTACTCTAATACCATAATCAAGCAGAGTATTATTCCAACTGATGTATATTTTGAGTTTTATTGTTCAGGTTAAATTCATGAACGTAATTAAGCTAAATCGTAATACAAGTTTAACGTAGTTAGGTTTAATACATGTTAAGGATAAGGACCATATGTTTTACTTAGTTAAATTCGTAAATATAATTAAGGTATAATGTTATCACGTAATATTTTCAGGTTTACAAATATGGGGTTTAGTACTCTATTTATTACACCTATATCTGATTTTTTTAACCTTTACAATCCTCCTTAAAGTCTTAAAAGTTTTCCATTGATTCACAACTTATATGTTATATTTTCGACAAAATTCACAATTTTTCCAGATTTAAAAAAAGGTGGATACAAAAACTAAAACTTCAGCTAAAAACTGGAAATCATGGTGCTAGGACTGTTCTTTTCGTCCTGTTTAAAATAAACTGTATACGCCAGTAGGAACAAATGGTTGGAATGAAACAACATTATTAGAGGGAATCAAGATATGAAAAGAGGGAAATTACCGAATTTTTACAAAATTGGTTCTTTGCTTCTGTATTAAAATGAAATAGCTCCATATCACTGCTTTATATCTAAAACTAAGATTGCTTACCTAAAGCATGTTCTGGATTGTTAAAAATATTCTTGTTCAGTCTAAAAATACAAATATTTAAATATTCTTGTTTAGTTTAAAAATACAAATATATAAATATTAATGTTTAGTTTAAAAATACAAATATATAAATATTAATGTTTAGTCTAAAAATACAAATGTATAAAATATTCTTGTTTAGTTTAAAAATACAAATGTATGAAATAAAGAGTAAGTGCATTTTCATAATAATGCACTTGATGTGCGTAATTGTTATAAAACTAAGGTTTACTTCATTCAATGGCCTACAGCTCCAAATTGGACAACAAACGAACAGTCTTGTAAACTAGAAATGTTGCTCAAAATGTAAAACTTTTAAAAAATATGTTTCTTTATATTTTTCTTTCAAGTCCACAAAAAATTTCAGCCCATTCGGTCCAGTCGTTTGGCCAGCTGTAGGGAACATTTATAGGAATGTCTTGTTTTATCATATAGATAAGTATTTTGCAGCATTCAATCATCAGCCTAATTTTAGAAAAATGATCAAATGATAAAAAAACTGTCCAATTTTTCTGTATTTTTCGAGAATAAAAATGGAGTTAACCACTTTTCGGAAATTTTTGCAACCTTTATTTGATTCACACTTTTCTACAATCAAATCAAAAATCATCTCTTAATAGCCATAGTCAAAAATTCTGATGATATAGATCTATTAATATAAATATTTTTGTTCAACAAAAGTTATAGTTAACATCATCTAAGACAGAAGAAAAAATGTGTTATGAGATAAATACTAAATAATGTTTAATACTACATTCTTGGCTGTTTATTTTCTTTCTTAAATCAATAATATATGCATTAAAAACTAAATGAAAAATTCAGAAACCAAAATATTTAATTTGGATGGTTTCAGGCGATCATTCAAATCTTATCTTTTGTGAACTTCAATTCAAACACTGTAATCTAACTGACTTCCAAATTATAAGTAAATCGAAAAATACTGAAATATTTATTAGAAATATTGAATAATATCAAATAAAAAATGAACTTACTTGAGGGTTGCCCGTGCCTGCTTACAAATACCACTCTGTCGGGGAGTTCCGTTCTGTTTACAATAATCAATGAAACAATAATAATTTCTTTATCGAGATATTCAAGGACTTGTATTGCTTAATAATTTGGAGGTTTAAGCCTTAGAGCGTGGAGATAATTCTAAGCCAAAATGAAACCTACAATCATGTCAAATTTGGAATTAGATGAGATCCTGGAAAGGGGAAAAAAAATGAGAATTTCAGACGCCGATACCTTGAAAGTTGAGGACGCTTTAAAACACAATTGTTAAAAGGGAAAAGGTTAAAAAATCCCACCTATACTCAATGCTACAAGCTAGACCCAGGGAGTAAGGAACAGAAGGAAGATGTAACTGACGCGGTTCGCCCTACCATATGATTATGCATGCTTTGCAGACGGGTACTCCATTTGTATATGAAATATTCAGAATAGGTTATCGTATACGCGGTAATTGTACATCAGACAAAAATTTCTTATTCAAATGGAGTACTGTCTGCAAAGCATGTATATTGTATAATCATAGGGTAGGGGGAACCACGTCAGTTATATATTCCTTCTATTCCTTACTCCCTGGCTAGACCTGAGGTTGTGAAAATATGAACAGCAGTTCTGTACAACGCGGTAAATTCTATTGGGAATTAAAACAAAATATCAAGCGGGAACGGTTATATGGAAGTCGGTCCGGTGCTTGTGCTTGAATAAATTGCATCAATGTGTGAATTTTCTCTTACTCTAAATTCCCAAACCTTTTGACTTGCCCTGCCTCCTGTACGGTGTAAAGTAAGAGATATAATGTTTATTATGCATAGAGCGTCCCATATCATATTGGTTTATCTCCAAGAAAGCGTGTCTATAGAATTAAATCTATAGAGCTAAAGGGGAATTCACCATTCCCCTTGTATAACATTTTTACGAGCTTTCAGTGGACCGCATAGAAGTAATTTAAAGCAACCCTTTATCCATGTCCGATTCACAATGGTACCGTATCCTCCTCTGATCAAAATGCATGACATGTCCTATAAGTCATCCAAATAGATTCAGCCTGCTTATAAAAAGTCTTATGAATTATAAGACAGGGTCGACTTTGAAGTGTCGCAACGCCTGGGGCTTAGATTTTGCCGCTCTAACTAACTTATGCTGTAGCCGTTTACATGTTCGTTTTATATTTTAAAGCACTTGTTGATAGCTTTGGTTTTTAGGAAGTGATTGGCAATTCTCAAAGATTTTTGCTTGAGAGCTCGGAACCTTTCAATCACACGCACTCTTTCTCTTAACATGTCTATTTTAAAACGCGGGTTTTCATAGTCTTTTAGCGGTTATTTTTGAAAGGGGGTCGGTCTAGCTTTCATAGGATTGATGGCTGACCGCGCATTTATGCTTCAGAAACAATTGAGGAAATATTTCAGACTTTCAACACATTTTAAGGCTAGAAAACGATGATACCTTCTACATTATTATTAAATATATGTTGAAAAGGTAGCGTTGTAAATGAGGCAAGGTCAAAAAATCAAAATACGTTAAGATATCTCAATTATATATATATCTAAATATATATTTGTATGCTCTTCAAAAATTGACTAATTTCTGTATGAATTCTGTGAATAAAGTAACTGGTGGAATTCTTGCTTGAACCCTGAAGGAAATGGGAGAAATTTACATTTTTCTAGTTTGGAAAACGACATCTTTCACATAATTATTTGGAAAGGTTTAACAGGTATCCTTGTGAAGCGGGAATCATTTAGGGCAACTAAAACATGTCAGTGGCTAACTTCAATCGATAAACGGAGAACAAGATTCTTCCCAATTTTCAAGTTAAATTTATTTAAACTATTGATAAAGCTCCTTAGTTTTGAAGACAGACTGGATATGTCCAATGGGAGAAACATTGTAAGATTCCATCTGAAAATATTAAGTTTAAATATATCAACATTAAGGTTTATTATCAAAAATATTGAATACAATTTACAATTCTTAATTAAAGTACAATTCTTAACAAAAAGCAAGAGTTTGAACTATCTGAAGAAAAAGACTGTTCCCTTGATTAGTCCCTGGTCTGTCTGATCTTGTTTAGGTAATATTGGTTGGATTTCTCAGAGTAAATATCAATCTCATCCTAAATGTAAAATTTCAGTTCTGACAAAAAAAAATTTGTCATTACAAATTGATTATTATCATCATTATCATCCTTTATATTGTCATCCTTATCATTCTTATCATCATTATCATCAGCAATACATTATTACAGTTTTCATCATTATCATCCTCATTATCATCATTATTATCCACATTATCATCATTATTATCCTCATTATCATCATTATCATCAATATTATCCGCATTATCATCATTATTATCCTCATTATCATCATTATCAAATTTAACGTCAAAATACTATAATCCTGAAATGGTTAAAACCATTTTCCAGCTAAAATTAAAGAAAAATCGACAACTATTCAAGGACAATAATTCTCAAGTTTTAGTTTGAAAAAAATACAGAATATAACGAGAAGATATTTGAAGAGAGAAAAACAACATGAAAATATTTTTCATGTAAATTTAGAAAATAGATTTAGATATTTTCAAAGGTTCGTGAAAAAAATAAAAACTTAAGTTCTCTGAAGGTTTTTTATTGCCTCGCATTTATTCCCCTTAACCACCCACAATTGAGCCAAAAAAACTTGAGTAATGGCTCGAAGAAAGTGAAAAAAAATATGATTTTAAATAATTACCGTTGCACCAATGACAGGGCAGTCCTGAGATAGCTGACCAGTGATGGGACACTCCTTGGTGGGCCCCGCCTTCAAAGCCTTAAACACGGTTTGATTATCATTCATGAAGGGGTGTGATGGGAAGGGGTCAAACATAATCATGACAATTTATTGCAACACATTTTGAAAAGCCAGTGCTAGGGATCCGGATAAGCAACATTTTGGCTTCCGGTTAACTAATTTTACTCTCAAAGAGAGATCCATTTTAATGATTGAAGAACCAGAATTCGGAATTGATTAAAAATGAAATGGATCCCAAGCATTGTGAATTGTGAAAAGCTTAAATATCGTACAAAAAACCATTGAAAATATCAATATTTACAAGTATAAGGCCATGACGAATTCACAAGTACCTTTAATAGCGTCGTTTATCTGTTTAAAAAAATTTAAATTCGGATTCGGACAATTCCTTTATTAGTTTCTGTATCAGAAATCCGCAAATCACTTTTATAGAAAAACCACAATTAAAAATAATCAATTTTCAAAGTCAACATGGATCATTCAAGTGTGACATACATACATATATACAAACGCCGACCACGTTATACCTGTGAAGGAAAGGTGAGTGTGAACCCAATATTAAAAAGTACAAAAAGTATGAACGCTGTTAATTTCTTTCCAAACTGGTGATCATACGGTCTGTGGGAGAACTTGTAAGTATTCTAAAACATAAAAAAGATTATTAACATTTTTCTCAAAACCAATTTTGAATCTGTAAAAACTAGAGTTTTGCAAGAGCATAAATATATCCTAATCCAGAGCAAAGAATTAAAATGTGAAGATTGTTATTTCATAGGTGTACGCAATTTTAGTACTGCAGTGTACTGGCTCTGGGGTGTAAAGTAAAAAATCAATGAAATATTCTGGCAACAGGAGACTTTAATGTGAATTATCAAAATGTTCAATGTTAAATGCCTTGATCCTCCTCGGATACTAGAGGAACACTGATGCATCTATTCTTGTTTACAAACACCGCCCAGAGAGAACTGGTTTCAAGATGTACGTACAGAATACGCAACAGCAATTAACTTTCCTTGCCTTATTACCTTGATCCAGAGGTTCATCTAGTAATAATTTGGGTTACCATTGTACAATGTATGCCCATTAAAAGCAAAAATTACAACTTAACACCATTTAAACCCATAAAATAATAAATCTGCCACAAAAACCAAGTCCATAATCTAACATAATTCAAGCCTGAGGCTGTCCTTGAATATTTACTTTAAGCCGTTTAAAATTTAACAAATATAAGGTAATAATAAGTAAAATAAATAAGACAAAATTGAACCACTACCTTCATGAAAGCGTATGAGACGGCTGAAAGAAATGTTGTTGCTCCTGTGAGAGCCCAGAGGTAATGTATAGAGGGGTGTCCTGCCAGGTTAAATACAGGGGCACCCAGAGATACAGAGATTAGTAGAAACTGCAGAGCTAAGACAATACATTTTAAATTAATATTTTCATATTTAAATTTATGGACAACATTAAATGTAAATTAGAGGAGAGGAGGATTGGGATTCCAGGCATGTTGATTTCCCCCCCCCCCTCGAATGACTTGCAAGTCCGATTCATAACGATACCCTTCACTCATCTTGATGGAAATTGTAAGAATTAAACACATTTTTAGGTGGAAACACGATATATTAAGGGTTCTGTTTTGAATCGGACACGACACTATCTAGAGGGTCGATAGAAGCAAGAGCATTAGTCCCGTAAAGGGAGTGACCGGTTATGTAAGGTAGTTGAACTGAGTATGCAGTGTTGTGGAAAACTTCTCTCGGATTCATTTGAGACATACTAAACTTTTTAAAGATCTGTAAATCCTGAGTTTGAGCGCAAATTCGATGTTCAAAACTCCTACTTTGGGGGTGGATACGTTTTCAGAATTAGTTTTTTGTTAATTATTAAATAACGACGACATAAAATGTAAAAAAGTTCTACAATAAACTACAGACGTCATGTATCGGAACAGGTTGAAAAAATAAAAATTAACTGTTATGATTAAAATAAATATAATATATTTATTTTAAATTTATTTTTAGTCCTGAAAATGGTTCCTCTTTTTCAGGGTGGTTGTCTGCAGATTTTCTATTACTATTATTGAAAAGACGACATTTGAAGAATTCAAAGAAATCTGCGAATAAATTCAAAGAAGATAAGAAATTCAATATAATAATAAAAACGAAATAATTGATTCTAGCATTGATTTGTTGACAAATTTCTTTTGAGAAATATGTTCCCAACAATCTAATTAGATTACTGTGTGATTTTTACTTTATTTTTCGTCGTCGTTATTTAGTAATTTAAAAAAAATGATTCTGAAAACGTATCCACCCCCAAAGTAGGAGTTTTGAAGGTGACATGGAAACGCCTCAACACGGAAACGACTCAACACGGAAATGTCTCAAAAAAACGGACTCATAAAACTAATTTAATGTCGTCTTTTGAACATCGAATTTGCGCTCAAACTCAGGATTTACAGATCTTTAAAATGTTTAATATGTCTCAAATAAATCCGAAGTTTTCCACAACACTGCATACTCAGTTCAACTACCTTACATAGCCGGTCACTCCCTTTAAATCCACCTTTAATCCTGGACTGACCTGTGTTAACTTTACTGATTGCTGTAGGTTGAACTGTAGCAGTAGGAAGGGAAACATCAAAATATTTCTATTTTTTTTCCACGGGCAACGCCGGGCCTTTCAGCTAGTTATTTATGAAGCATGTTAAAAATATTTTTTAGAAAAACCATATTACATGACTTACTTTAATCGAAGGTTAAATCCTTCTTGTGGTTCTTACTTGATGTAAATATATAAAAATACACATATCGGACACATTTTAGAAAATCCGCAATACGTATTCTTTGACCTCCAGAGGAAAGGCAACCAAGATTCCCGGGCCGGGTCGGCAACAATTCAGGCCAGTGCATAGACTCTAGAATAGTCAGGCCCCTGCTCTATTGGCCAGTATCAGGCTACAGATCTAACACCAACACTAGTAGTTTCTTAGTAACAACTCAACACTAATACAGCGTTAGTGAATAAGAAATATACGGTTGAAATAACCAGCTGAAAACAAACAAAAGAACAAAGAACCATTATTCCTTTTGACAAAAAAGGGTGATTTATTTTATCCTTCAACTTTAATGTCAGCGCTAAATAGTATGCCTATTATAACCCAAATAGCAGGTGGCACCGTTGCAGCGATAATATCTTTAACCTGCTTCAAAGTTTGGATGCAAGGGCCTAAATGTCTGTCCAAGAAACGGTTAGACGGCAAGGTTGTCGTGATAACAGGAGCTAATACTGGTATAGGGAAGGTGTGCGCCAAGGAGTTGAGTAGAAGAGGTGCCAAGGTCATAATGCTGTGTAGGAGTTTAGAACGAGGCGAAGCTGCTGCTGAGGATATCAGAGGAGCAGGAGGAGAAATATTGGTGGAACAGATGGATCTAAGCAGTTTCAAGAGCATCAGAGCGTGTGCGGAGAAACTGAACCAGGACCTTGATAAGATCGATATTCTTCTTAACAATGCAGGAGTTATGGGATGTCCTTTAACCAGGACAGAGGACGGGTTGGAGATGCAGATTGGGACAAATCATTTTGGACATTTCCTTCTCACAGACCTTCTTCTTCCTCTTTTACGCAAGGGAGGTGGAGGAACTAGAGTGGTCAACGTCAGCGCTCTGGCTCATCAAGCTGGGCAAATGTACTTTGATGATATCAATTTCAATAAGATCAAGTATGAACCCATTAAAGCCTATTGCCAATCCAAGCTAGCCAACGTCTTGTTCTCGGCTGAGTTAGCGGAGAGAGAAGCTAAGAATGGGATAAACGTGTATTCACTGCATCCAGGAGCGATTGCAACAGATCTTGTCAGAAATATTAAAGACAGCTATGGAGCAATAGTTGCAGGAATTGTAAATTGGTTTTTCTTGCCATTCCTCAAGGTATGTTTCTTAAAATATGTTTTAGCTTAAACTAGCTTTGTAACAAAGCTTTGCCTGAAAACTAGGATTTTCTTTTAGAAGTCATTATAATAAACTTAGAATTTTAAATTAATTTTAAATCAATGGTTCTACTAAGTTCAACATGGAAAATTTGAGACCAGGGGTTCCTGAGTTAAGGTCGAACATACAAACAGACAGACAAACAGAGATTAAACATTATAAACATAGAAACCTAGTAAGACTGAACAGTTAACTACAATAACATTAATTATGAACAAAATATTGAAGTGAAGAAGGCGGGCTTATTTTGTTATTATCACCAAGGGTTGTCCTTTTTTTAGAAGTAGGCCTAGGAAATGGGGCAAAAACTTTATCAATCAATATTTTCAGCAGTAAAACCATAGATACCATACAACAATAACAAAAGTATTTTAAATTTATAGTTTGAATATGGTATTTCATTTCTTAAGTGTAATTTCAAGTGATCTTCCATTTATAGCGAGGCATGTCCGATTCATAACGGTACCCTTTAAAACCTTTGCCGACAACGATGAGGTAGATAGTAGATACCCTCATTAATACAGCTGAAGATTGAGTGCAGGAGGACTTGAGGTTACAGTGTACACTGTAAGCTCCATGCAATAATGTACACGGTTTCTTTGCACTTAATTTCCAGCTATTTTAACAATAATATCTACGAAATCCGTGAAAAAAAGGCTTTAAGGGCATCGTTGTGAGTTGGTCATGCCACTCTCTAAATGAAAAGTCATTTGAAATTACGCTTACAGTTTGAATGATTATTATAGACTGTAGAATCTGGTGCACAAACAAGCCTATTTTGTTGTCTTGATGAATCAGTGGAGAACCATACTGGAAGATACTACAGTGACTGCAGGTTTTCTTCTCTCAATTATTCAAATCAAAGTATATACAAATAAAATTTACAAAATTCAGAGACGACTTGAACAATTCATGCTTCATTAAACCTAATTTAACAAATATGATTCATGAAACAATAATCTCAAAATATCCCTACTCCTGCCATTTCCAAAATGTGGTCTACCAAGACAACAGTCATTTTTAAAGAATGTTAATGCAAAGAAATTTCGCTTTAAAATTTGTTGACTATAAATATTTTAACAATATTACAGAGAGAAATTGGCAGCTCCTCAAGCTTTGAATAAAGAAGACGCAAGGAGACTTTGGGAGATCAGTGAAGAACTCACGGGAACAAAATAATAACAGAAGTTCATATTTGACTTCATGGATTTCTTGTAATTATATTTGAATGCTATCATGTTTAAATATATTATATAAGTAAATAATGCATCATAAATGTTCATGTACGCCTTATGATTTGTAATTGGTATAAAATATTGAAAAGGTAAAACCAAACAAAAATATAACGCAGAATAAAAATGTATTTTTGCGATTTATTAATGCAAAAATAAAAAATATTAAAATGTTGAAGTGCACAAAATATTTTTAATTTAACAATCATTTTCAATGAAGAAAAGGCAAAGAATGAAAGTTTTTAAAATATAAACTTAAGTTTTTTTATCTTGAATAAGTAGATACCTGCATAGACTAGGAAGAGGTCCCTAGAGACTATAAGCCCCGTGAGAGAAGGAGGAATAATGTTTACATATGTAAGGGTGAGGTAGAGGGTACAAACAAGGATCTAACGATCACCATTATTCATAATTTTTTGTAATTTGTTAAAACTTCAGACACAAATTCAAGAATAAATGAGGAAGATATCGTCGTTTCTCTATGTTTAAGTATTGAATTTTTGCAATTTCCTTCATTGTCCAGTATAAATTCGCAAGTCACTTATATAGAGAAACCACAATTAAAAATGCTAAATTTTCAGCTAGAAAAGGAAAGGTCTCATTCATCCTTGATCAGACAATGTTTAAATTGTAAATTTTGAATTAGACAAAAAAAATTTAAAAATGGGGTTGCCTTGTAATTATACTTAAAGTTCTATTAAAGAATAACTTAATCAAACTTAAATGAAACAAAGAGTAAATGCAGTAAATACAATGGTTGTAGAGAACTTAAACAAAAGTTAACATATGACTGGATACTTAAAATTATATAAGAATATCATAATGACTTATCAATTATTATATTACATAAAAAAATATGCATCGGACTAGATAAATAAACATGAAAGATTATGATTATATTCCTTATCAGCAAGAGGATCCAAAAAGCTTCCCAAGCTTGAAGCTTGACCCTTAAAATTCCTGAAAAAAATGTTTTTCCTAATTTTAAAACTCAAAATTTCTCAATTTTTTCATTTTAAACTGCTGTATTTTAAAAAATAGTTAACAAATGTCGAAATTAAAGGGGGCGTTCTACTACGACCGAATACCAGCTTTAAACCTTCCATTGGGTCATGTGAGTTGCCACAACAAATTTTGGCCCGATCGGTTCAACCGTTCTAAAAAGCAAAGTTTATATTTGATTTGGGGAACTCGGTAAAACCATGGGAATATTCTTTGCTTGTTTAAAAACTTGTCAAGCTCACAGTGTTCCTTAAGAGCAAAAAAGTTTAACTTGGTATTGCGGAGCAAATTCAACTTGTTCCTGGTTCTGATGCGTGAGGGTGATTGGAAACAAGTTTCCGTGAAATATTATCACTCCGTCCTGTCGAGATATCAAGGTTTATTTAAGTCACACCCTGTACAGCTGGAGGCACCTTTTGAATGATTAGTAACTTATTTTTAATTAATTTCTTTTACCAGACTTTGCTCCATGTATTACCTTGTTCAATATCAATTTTCAAGAGTGTTCTTTCAAAACTCAAGTCTGTAGAGTCAAGAGCGTTTAGCTACCTATTTTACTATTTTTTTATGTTATAAGAAACCCAGGAACCAGGCACAAGATGAATTTGCTCCGCAATACTAAGTTAAACTTTTTTGCTCTGAAGGAGCACTGTGAGCTCTCTTAGAAAATCTGTGTTTCAAAATATATAAATATTTCTTTAAAATAACTTCCTTTCAAAATCTAATACTAATATAAACAATTCATATAATGTCATCTAATGTTGAATCTTAATCCTACCTAGCTATCCAACCATCAAGAAGATCGGTAAACCCGGCTAACATGAACAGTGCACAGGCTGCTTCAAAGTTTCCTATTATAAGAAACCAGAAAATAAATATAAAACTAATAAGTTATAAAAGGTATGTAAAATCTTCTCAAAATCTGATTTTGTTTTAAGATGAAAGCTTTATCGAGAAGATTAATTTGCAATCTATGCTGATTGCTGATCTTGATGCATTAAAGTATTTTTTTATGAATTTTAAAAATGTTGATGAATACATTAACGGTCTAAACTGATCAGAAGTTGATGAAGACGAATTAAAGTACTGAGTTTTTTAGGGCACGGCGGGGGGCAAACGGGCGCGTGACACACCCTGTAAGAAAAAATTTAAGTTAAAATAAGTGCTTTTGGACTGTGTAAGAGGACTTTGCCCCCCCCCCCCCCCTCCCTGTGGAGTTTTTAATAGTAATTGTATCTCACCTTGAACAATAAGACTGGAAAGGACAGGAGCCGTAACAATCCTGATTTTAAAATTATACTTAAAGGGACTGTAAACGTAAATTCAAGTGACTCGGCCTTAGTCGATCAAACATACTGCTATTTTTACCTATTTTCTATGTCTTAAATTCAGTGCTTAGGATCCGGATCCGTTGGGTCCTCAAGTTTTGGCTTCCTGGATCCGGATCCGGATACGCAAAAAATATCCGGATCCAAGGGGTAACATATCAACCAAAAACTGCAAAAAAAACTTTTTTACTCCTAAAACCCAAATCTGAACTTTTGAAAAAAGAGAGATTATAAAAATTTCTTCATTTCTAAATGGTTCATCAAGTTTTAGTGTAAAAATAAGCGGAAAAATTTGAAAATTGTTTTTTTTTGTTAAAAATTTAGTAAATCTTAGAGAAATGACCTGGATCCGGATCCATTTTTTTCCAGTGCGGATCCAGGATCCGGATCCGCATCAAAATTAAATGGATCCTAAACACTGGTTTTAATATTGATAATTATTTTTTGCAGTTTTCTATGAAAGTGACTGACGCATTTAGGCAGCTTGAGAAAAAGAAGAAAATGGTTAGTAACCTTTAACCTTTGCTGAGAAAGGCTGACGTATATATCTTTATTCTTTTAATTCGAGATTTAGTGCCGGGAAACTGCATTTGTACACTGTTAATGCTAATGTTTGGATTATTTTCAGGACTCCTGGCGGAGTATAAAAGAAAATTTCAGATTTTTGTCATGGTTTTCATAAGGGTGCATATATCACATTAATATGTAGAAAATATTATATTCAATATTTACGGAATATCAAGATAAAAAGCATTTTATTTTTTGTTTGATCCAGTTGATTTTTTTCTTGAAATATGTATTTAAAAAAAATATTTTAGCCTTTCTGTCGTCTTTTTCAGTAATCTTTTATTAGCTCTTTATTTCCCAACAATTGAAACTAGAATAGATTAGCATTTGTTACATATTTATCATTTCTAGATTTAGAAGTACTTTACGTTAGTGCAGTTTTTATATCACAGGGTAAATCATTCCATGGAGAAACAACTATTAGGTTAAAAAAATGTTTCGGAATATCAGTTCTACAAAATTTGGCACTAAGTGAAAGAGGATTTTCTGACATTCTTTTAATTCTATTGGATGTATCTTCTAACATTGAAAACCACGTACATTTAGCAACATTATTAACAAAATGGATAATTTATAGGTTTCAATTAAATAGCGAAGTCTTCGACTTTCAAGGGATTGTATCCTCGAGTCTCTTGTCAGTCAATTTTCAGCTGAGAGAATAAAGATTTCTACATCAACCTTGGTGAACTCTGAAACTAAGTATTATAAAAATACCTTGAAACACAGAGAATATTAGGAACTGTAATTATGTTGTCCTTCTTCACTGGCTCGTCACTTAATATCTTCTCTTTCCCGTTCTCAGGTGGTGAAGCAGTAGACATTCTTCTTTTAGAGATAGGTAGATAGTTCGATAAGGAGAAGATAGGTAGATAGATCGGCAAGCTGGAGGTGGATAAATAGTTAGGCGGGAAATTTGAATTTTGTAATTTGGTAGCGGAGGAAAACTTTGATGAGCTCCAGACGTTCTTGTTCAGTATCCGTACATCCCAAAAACAAAACCCCCCCCCCGTAAAGAAATCTGGAGTTATAGAAGCTAAAAAAAAACATGGTCTAATACTTTTTTATTTTCCCCTTCCTGGCACTTTTCCATAGTGAAGCAACACGATCTATCATATATACCGATTTTAACTTTAAATTGAGTTTAATAACAGTCTTTTCTTTCAATTAGGCGGGGAGGGGGGGGGGGGGTTATCAAAAACAACGTCAGTGACTTCTTAGAATATGATAATGATAATAATATTAAACAGATTTTAGGGAAACCTTGGAGTAGAAAGAAGTCTGCAGGGCAAAGCTGGATTGTTTAACACAATTTACGCATAAAAAGCGTAAACTGGTTGAGCCCGGTATAAGCATATTTAATATTTATTCTGAAAAAGATAAATAAATCTATTTCCGGTTCTTTTTAAATGCACGCGGTGGTCGCACTGTAAATGCATAAATCTGGCACAATTTTTAACAGTGTACAAGTACAATCTACGCTGTTTTCTGTTTATGATAATTGTACTGTAATGTACTGTACAGTTCACAAGGTGTAAAAGCATACAAACTTATCCCTAAACAACAATTCCCAGTTTATATAATAAAATTGAAAAAGTAAAAAAGTTCTAAATTCTTTTGACACAAGTAAATTTTTTTTGAACAGCGGTAAAGGAATGATATAAAATATCCCAGCCATTGTTAGTGTTGGAAGCCAACTTCTGTTTTACAGGATATGTTTACATATTGGTATATATAAATCTGATTGTCAGTAAGTTGGTATTTATAGATGATGTGCTGATCGCTTCAGATGTTGGCTCACCTACAAAAGTAAGAATCTTAACGTTCACTTAAAAATGCTTAATTTCGAGGTATTTTAATGAAAACATTTCCAGGAATTTTCCCCAACATTGATGACAGAGTGGTGTGGGGGGGGGGTTGATTATTAATGCTAAAAAAATAGACATCAACTTAATTTTTATTTAACTCTCTTTGATCAAAAAGTCATGTTTTTCCTACAAAAATTGTGTCGTATCATTTGAGCTAAACATCAATTAAATATATGTAAGTTTTGGATTAATGTTTGTTAAGACTAACGTTTCAAATGATGATAGTCCTAAAATGTGATAAAATATATTTCTTAATAAGTTCCTATTAACATGATTAAATTTATATTTGGTCAAATGCTTTAAAAGCCGGCTTGTGAAAAGCTGGATTTAATTCAATAGGATATTAGTTCAATCGATATAGAATTGTATCTGTAATTGTTATCAAACGTAACTTTTATACAGTAGGGATATCCAAAAAGAGACGATTAGGAAGAAAATCAAAAGTGTGAACATTGGATACTCAGATTCAGCGATCAGGATTAAGGATATTTCATTTTAAAGTTTTCAGCTTTGAATACATTATGAACTTTTTCTTGAATAAAACAAGTGTAAGGCTGAAATTTTAATCTAACCTAAGCAAGCATGCCAACTGCCTTCCTGGCGGCATCGTCCAGGTCAGAAGCAGAAGCAATCTTAACATCAGATTCCGCCAGAATCTTCTTGGCAGCATCAACATTGGTTCCCTCCAGTCGGACTACTAGAGGCACCTAGCGTTACAAATAATAAACAAGTTGTTTGAGCGCATCCACCGAGTACCTTCTATTTTATTGCAGTACTCTTCAAAAGGGTCAAATTTAACCCCTTTCGTTAGTATTCCCCAGTCTCTTCACATAATTCCGCCAATGCATTCAAATTTTGTGAATTTAACATCTTAAAATTTTCAGATAAATAAACTTTGTACCTTCAGATCGATAGACTTGCAGGCGTTAACGATCCCATTAGCGATGGTAGCGCAGTTAACGATTCCTCCGAACACGTTTACAAGAATCGCTTTAACCTTATCATCCTCTGTTATGATGCGGAATGCCTCCTTCACCTAAAATTTAACAAATTGCTTATATTTAAAAATTATGATTTGACAAATTGACAGGCACACTTTCATCTTTTTGAACCAACCGACCTACCCCTACCTAACACTCTATACCCTACTCTTCGCATTAAAAAATCATCTAGTTTTATCTCAAATATTGAATCCGTCATTGTTTCTAGTCCCTCCTGAATACTGCATCCGACGAGGTGTTACATGTTAGTATTCCTCCTTTTCATTACCTGCTTCTCCTGGAAATCAACTCCGACGAGATGTTACCTATAAGTATTCCTCCTTTTCATTACCTGCTTCTCCTGGAAATCAACTCCGACGAGATGTTACCTATAAGTATTCCTCCTTTTCATTACCTGCTCCTCCTGGAAATCAACTCCGAGTAGATGTTACCTGTTAGTATTCCTCCTTTTCATTACCTACTTCTCCTGGAAATCAACTCCGAGTAGATGTTACCTGTTAGTATTCCTCCTTTTCATTAACTGCTTCTCCTGGAAATCAACTCCGACGAGATGTTACCTGTTAGTATTCTTCCTTTTCATTACCTGCTCCTCCTGGAAATCAACTACGACGAGGTGTTACCTGTTCCTCTTGAACATTGCCTCCGACATCCAGGAAGTTTGCTGGTTCTCCTCCGTAAAGTTTGATAATATCCATGGTAGCCATTGCAAGACCAGCTCCATTCACCAGGCATCCAATGTTGCCATCCATCTGCGAGGTAATTAAGTAAAAATAAAATTTGTATCTTGCATAATCAACACACATGACATTGCACCCCTGTTTAAAACTTTTTGTAAAGGATTTTTAAAAGATGAAAATAAAGATTAATTCGGAGAATTTTACCTGAACATAATTGAGGTTATGTTTAGCAGCCTCAACCTCCCTAGGCTCACTCTCGGTAGTGTCCTCCATGTCGAAGATGCTCCGCTGACGGAAGGAAGCATTATCGTCAAACCCTAGTTTAGCATCAGCAGTGTACACCTGAAATAAATATGCGAATCCACGGATCCGGATCCAAGGCGCAAAGCATCAGCCAAAAACTGCAAAAAAAGTTGTACTCTCAAAATCAAGAAATAACCAGGATTTGGATCCGGATTTGAATCCGAATCCTTTTTTTCCAGTGCGGATCCAGGATCCGGATTTGCAACTATTAATGTTATACAAAACATCTAACATTTTTTCTTAATAAAACAAAACAAAATAAAATAAAATAAAATAAAATAAAATAATTTTACATTAAAACTAGAATATCCTAACTTAGAAGCCTTCAAAGTCACTGCATGCTGAAGGCACCAAAAGCTTAATCTAGGTTGAAAACATATGTTTACAAAAAACTGCAGCAGAAAATTATCGAAAATTATCAATTTTTAAAGAGGAAAATCATGATGATATCATTGGGGGTAACGTTGTGAATCAGGAATGCCACTCTTTTTTAAATTGAAAGTCACTTGAGATTAGGTCAACACCTTTTAAGTCTCAACCATTAGTTTTAGAAGGCAAAATACAATTAATATATAACTTACCATGCCCTGAGGTGTTTCAGCAAGGGGGTTGATTTCAAGCTGAACACAATCAACATCAAGGAAAACCTGGCAAAAAAACAATTTTATTTAATAATAATACAACTCAATTTTTTTCAATTAAAAAGATTTTTTCAATTCCGACTGAAATATTTTGAGAAGTTCAGGAGCTTATTTTCTGTGGGGGGGGGGGNTCCGCAGAACGAGAAGTCAGATTCCAATATTCAAAATGTTTTCTTAATTAAATCTTGTTTTCCTTGTACAGGTTCTTTATCTGCTGAGCACACTGGGGTACAAGCTCTCCTTTAAACCCAAGGAATTCAGCAACCTGGGTCGCCATCTCATCAGTGACTCCTGGAAAGTATACGTTAGCACAAATGAATTAATCAATCAACAAATCAATCAACTGAAATTATCCCATACCATTTTTAAGAGTATACCCCAAGATAGCATTAAAAACTAAATTTTCCAGAATGAAATTAGTGATACAAAACCTCGTTTATTTACCAGCTAAGATATTTTAGGAAAAATATGGTGTCCTGTCCTGTCAAGTGAAATAGGTACATACTAAAAGATACGGCGGTGCTGTATATCGTTAATATTTAATACTGAACAAATTTCAGTTAAGACACTTTCTGTTAAAGAACAAATCTACGATCGATCCATAGATTAATTAATCCTGTACCTATTTTTATGTCAACAGGGATCTTCATAATTCTTTCAGGAGTTTTCTCAGCAACCTCCTCAATATCAACTCCACCATCAGGACTAGCCACTATCACAGGACCGTTGTACTCCCTGCAATACAATTTAATTTCAGTTTTAATGTTGTACAACACAATATACAACCAGTCTCAATATACATCCAGTTTTAATGTTGCAAAACACAATATACTGTCAGTTCTAGTTGTAAAACACAATAAACATTCAGTCTTAATCTTGTTCAACACAATATACGTTCAGTTTTAATGTTGTTGTACAACACAATATACATTTAATTTTAATGTTGTACAACACTGATGCAGTGTGACCACGGCATGTTCTAGCTAGTTTAGAACCATAGAAGAACTGTAAGATCTAAAAAGAAATAGCGAGAAAACTAGATATATATTTTTATTTTTAGATCTTTGAAAACTGTTTTCAGCTAACAGATGAAGCCAGAACCTCGTCTATTATTCACCGTATGGGAGGAGAAGAGTTCTTTCTTCAGAATAACGTAGAAGGAAGACCCTGTGTGCAAACTACTCTTACGAAGTAACCAGGATACAAAAATATAAAACTCTGAGAAAGGAGAAGAGTTCTTTCTTCGGAATAACGTGGAAGGAAGACCCTGTGTGCAAACTACTCTTACAAAGTGACCAGGATACAAAAATATAAGACTCTGAGTAAGGAGAAGTGATAAATATCCGAGAAGGAACAGAATATGGAAACATATATAGATAGACACATAGTGATGATTGTGAAAGTCAGTGATGTGAGAGATGACAGAGCAGGTGTCGGAGAACTGTCAATCAGGATCAGCAACAGGGAACACTTAGAAATTTTTAGAGATGAATATTTCCTTCTAATTTTAAATTTACGATATTGTAACCTTGTAAGGATTTTTCTCTTGTAGAGTAAATCCACCCCTTCATAGGTTCTTAGTCTCAGCAAACAAAAATATGAGGATTTTGTCATATTATTGTTTGTATTATGTAAATATGTCAAGGGTTAATATGGGTCATTCATATTTGCTCAAGGAGCAGAAGGTGTTTTGATTTGATACAGAAACCATCTGTACCATCGCTGAAATAAGAGGATTTGATTGGATAATGATGGCGGTAATGTGCGTTGGTCAAATATTTACTTGACACTTTCTGCTAAAGAACAAATCTACGATCGATCCATAGATTAATTAATCCTGTACCTATTTTTATGTCAACAGGGATCTTCATAATTCTTTCAGGAGTTTTCTCAGCAACCTCCTCAATATCAACTCCACCATCAGGACTAGCCACTATCACAGGGCCGTTGTACTCCCTGCAATACAATATAATTTCAGTATACATTTAGTTTTAATCTTGTACAACACTATATACAACCAGTCTCATTATACATCCAGTCTTAATGTATTGTGTTTTACAACATTAAGACTAAACTTGTATTGTGTTGTACAACATTAAAACTAAATGTTTATGTTGTTGTACAACACCAAAATATAATGTATATTGTGTTTTACAACTAGAACTGACAGTATATTGTGTTTTACAACACATTTAGTTTTAATGTTGTACAACACAATACACATTTAGTTTTAATCTTGTACAACACAATATACATTCAGTTTTAATGTTGTACAACACAATACAAATTTAGTTTTTATGTTGTACAACACAATATACATTTAATTTTAATGTTGTACAACAAAATATACATTCAGTCTTAATGTTGTACAACACAATATACCATTGCTTAGGATCCGGATCCGTTGAATCCGCAAAATTTTGGCTTCCGGAATTTGGATCCGGATCCACAAACATATGCGAATCCACGGATCCGGATCCAAGGCGCAAAGCATCAGCCAAAAACTGCAAAAAAAGTTGTACTCTCAAAATCAAAATCTGCACTATTAAAAAAAGAGATTTAAAAAATGTCCTGACTTCTGAATGGTTCTTCAAGTTTTAGCATAAAAATAAACGAAATATATAAGACACAAATATAAAAAAATCATGCTTTGTTAAAAATTCAGTAAAATTTGAGAATTACCTGGATCCTGATCCGGTTTGGATCAGGATCCATTTTTTTCCAGTGCGGATCCAGGATCCGGATCCGGATCCGAATCAAAAGATAAATGGATCTTAAGCACTGCAATATACATTACACAACATGCAACTATTGTTGTTCAAAACATCTAACATAAAACTAGAATATCCTAAATTAGAAGCCTAAAACTAACCGGTCAAGAAGGATACAGAAGTATGTTTCTCTGGTGATATCAATAGCCTCGGCCACCATGACCTTGCTGACCGGTATCCCAGCTGGCGGGGTCTGCTTCGTGATTAGTCGGTGACCGATCATTGAAGTACACAGGCCGGGAACCTGCAGCAAATAAAATCTTGAAACTAAGAAAATCCAAGATCAAAAGGCCAAGGGTAGAATAAGTGATTTTTAAATATATCGATTAAATATTTACCTTAGAGGGATCCTTGGTGAGATGAACACCTCCCTTGAACCCGTTGTCAAAGTGTCCCTTACCCCTACCCCCAGCCAGCACCTGGGCCTTGATCACGTACTCGGCACAGGGGAACTCCCCGGGGATACTGGCAGCCTCCTCCTGGTTGGTTGCCATACGGAACTTCTGTACCGTCACACCATAATCCTTAAAAAGAGAGAATTTTTACCTTCAGGGACATTATAATTAACGATTCACAATGGTACCGTTTTTGGTTAAATAAAGGTGACGATTTTTTAGTTAAATCTAGAAAAGTTTCTGGAAATTAAAGATGGTCGCCATACGGAACTTCTGTACTGCCACACCATAATCCTTACATACGGGAATTGTTACGTTTAGGGACTTCGTTTTTTTAATATCAATGAGTGCCATCACCAATTCACAATGGTACAGTTTTTTTTTATTTACGCAAGGTGACGATTTTTTACTTAAATCTAGAAAAGTTTATGAAATTAATAAATTTCGCCATACGGAACTTCTGTACCGTCAAACCATATCCTTAAAAAGAGAGAATTGTTACGTGTAGAACTTTATTTTAATATCAGCGAGGGCCATTAACAATTAACAATGGTACCGTTTTCGGTTAAATAAAAGCGACGATTTTCTAGTTAAACTAGAAAAGTTGATGAAAGTTGCAAATGGTCGCCATACCGAACTTCTGTACCGTCATGCCATCATCCTTAACAGGACGGAATGGTTACGTTTATGAGGGAAATTTTAATTAGTAACTGTCATCAACGATTTAAAATATTACTGTTTTCGGTTAAATAAAGGTGACGATTTTAACCTAGAAATAATCCTGAACAGGACGGTATTGTCAAGTTTTTAACGGACCTGATATTCCTGAACGGACCTATTAAATAAGTATAGTACCATCAACGATTCACAATAATACAGGTTTCATTTTAAAGAGGGTGAAAAACTATTTTGTTAAATCATGAAATAAAGGAATCCGTCAGACCATAATCATGAACAAAAGAAAATTGTCCACTGGTTTCCGGTAATCTTTCAAATTTAAAAGGGCCATCAAAAATAAACCACTGCACCATAAAAAATGTCATAGGACTAATGATGGTGCAAAGCAAAACTAACCGTCTTAGATTAGTGTGTGCATAACGTTTAAAATAATATTTTTCTTAAACAAATGTCCACCTACAAAAAATTTTGGTATTTCGATCTCGTCCTTACTAATGCATCTATATATAAATTTGGCTTGTCTGTTTGTATCCAATAAACGTTACAATGGATGAACCGATCGGGCCCAAATTTTTTGTGGGACATCTAGGGACCCCAGAATAGGTTTATGAATGACCGAAATTTTAAAAGTAAGTTTTTTATTTTTGTAAAATTTTGAAAATGCACGAAAAAATATTATGAAATCCGCAAACTTTTTCGTTTTTTTTGTTTTATAAATACTGTACAAAGAGAAGATGCTCACTGATAAAGCCACAATTAGAAGTTTAAATAGAAGATGGGCGCGAAGTGCCCTAAAAGCCTAGTTTTTATAAAAAGCAGGAAAAAAGGATACTCGAATCTGGGTTGGAAAAAAACTATTTTTTTTAACCAGCCCTTATGGTTTATTGGGTTTTCGAGTGTTTTTGGGGTTGTTAAGATCACTGGTTTAAGTCTTAGGAAATGAATAAATGTGTCCGTTTTAGTGCGGTAAACTCTCTAAAAATGAATACAGTTTATAGTAGATCTTTTTTCTTAAAGAGTTTATCATAATGAAAGGGAAGAAAAGGTAATTATTAGAAAAAATCTAAAAAAAATAATAAAACCCCCAAAAAAAACACTTAAAGGTGGGTTTTTAAATTGGGGTTTATTATTTTTTATTAGGTGTGTTTTTGAGGGCTGTTTTTTTTCTACCAACCCTGCATTGAATTTATCAATTTTTACACAAAAAGTCCGTATATAATTCTCACCTGAAGCAGTCCTTTTGACTGGTATTCTAGAAGGTTGAGGTTCCTAGTCTGACCAGCACCATTAGCTGCCGGGGTCAGCTTCAGCAGCCGTGGGGTCAACCTTGCTCCCTTGCAGATAGCGGACATTTTTCTGCAAGAAAAAAATATAAAAAATCAGGTAGAAATCTTAAATCATACTAAATCATTTAGTTGTAACTAGAATAAGATTAATTAACGGTAGATTTCTGAATGTATTTCACGTGTTTAGGTTTCTTCTTTTAAACCAACTCCTACAACTCATACATCTGAATAAAATGATGTATTATACACGGTTATTTCATATCTGGGGCAATTATTCTAGGTTTGAAGTTTTGAAGAAAAAAAAACCAGGGTTTCCAATGAAACAAAGCTTTCGTGAAAAAAATGCGATATTTCGCTAAAATCTTCTTTCTTATTTCGTAAACTTGCTTGTGAAATTTCGCAAAAATGAATGTATGACAGGAAGCGAAAACGATGCGGAATTTCGTGAAAAACAAAACGAAATAGGCAACAATTTCGGCAAAAAATTTTAAATTTTAGCGAAACGATTTCCCCATTCGTTGAAAACCCTTATCGAAACTACAGGGAATAAGCCTTAAAGCTCAGTTTCTTTACAGGACCATAATAAATAAATCATCTCGACGAGGGGGGGGGAGGGTAATTATACCTGAATTAAACTGATGTCAAGGTAGTTGTCTCCTCCTCCTCACTATCCTCTAGGTCTATATGTTCCTTGATCTTCTCCCGAAGAAGCTCTTCTTTAGTTTTCACGGATGTAACCTGAAGGTCAAAACATAATCTTTAGATTTTTCATTGCTTTTATTTTTAGTTTTTAATCCTCCGTATTTATTAAATAATAATTGATAATTGAATACGAGAATTATTAGAGAAGAGATTTGCAAAAAGGACCATCTCCCAGGCCGCCTACAGGTGTATACAACCCAGGTTCCGCTTAGAAATATTAGAATAAAAATCAACTAACCTCGCAATCTGAATCAGCATCCGAGGACTCGTCCTCATCGTCCTCCTTGTCCTCTCCATCCTCCTCTTCCATACCTTCAGGAACTAGATCAACCACATCTCCATCTATACCTACAATATAGATCAAGTACTAAATACTAAGTACTTCTGCTTCGGATCTTCTCAATTTGAATCACAGCATATTGAATCATTCAACTATAAATATTATATAATCGATCAAAACAAGCTTCTCATCCTTGAGATGATGTAAAAAAACCATCGAAATATATTCCCTACTTTGAAGCTGTGCATTATACAGATAGAGAACACATTTGAGCAACTAATTTGTATTTTTAAAAAGAATCCTTCTTTACTCTAAATTGGGAGATTTCTGAAACTGATGAAATATTAAAGATTGAATCACATAAAAAAGTGTATATAATACTTTGAATGCAGAAAATGTAAGATTTTTTGAGTATTCTAACGGTATTTTAGAGTTAGTCAGTTCTATTTTGCTGAGAAAATGTTTTAAAATTGTAGAAAATAATATTCTATTTTTGTTGTTAATATAGTGTTTTTTTACCATTTTTTTTGGGATGGGTGGGGGGGGGGAAAGGGCAAATACACTTACAATTACTAGAACGCGTGCAGAAAAGTAACCAGAATGTGAAAGATTATAATCGATTCAGTAAACAATTAGATTAGAATATTGCACAATGTCGACAAATATTTCTATACCTAGTTTTTGTTTAGTTGTTTTCTGAGGTTTAGAGTTCTTTACCACAGCTCTGGCAAGAGGGACAACACGAGTAAAATCAAACATACTTCTTTTAGAAGAAAATACATATTTAGATTCTCATCAACTTAGCAATTACTCGAAAAAGGATTTTATGATAAATTACTTTAAAAAGGAACTTTGTAACAAACAACTCTAAAAAAAGGAACTTTATAACTAATTAATCTTAAAAGACACTTAATTAATTAATCTAAAAAGGCACTTTATAATAAATTAATCTATAAAGGAACTTAATAATAAATTAATCTAAAACGGAACTTTTTAATAAATTAATCTAAAAAGGAACTTTATACTAAATTCCTTTAAAAAGGAACTTAAAAGGAACTTTATAAACTCCTTAAGAAGGAACTTTATAATAAATTCCTCTAAAAAAGAACCTTATAAGTTATAATAATTTTCTCTAAAAAGGAACTTTATGATATACTCCTTTAAAAAGAAACTTTATAATAAACTTCCCTTTAAAGGAACTTTAAAATAAAATCCTCTAAAAAGGCACTTTATAATAAGTGAACATTAAATGACAGAAACATCATTTTTTTTTTAAACAAATACAGTTCAAAATCGTAAGCCTGTTTAAAACGTCAATCCCCCCCACAACAAAGAGACCCAATTTTTTAAATAAATTCAATCTATTGGTTAAATTCTAGGAAGTTTACAGAACTTAAAAGGGAATGATGACGTAATTGAAGAGACTTCGTATATACAACGGTATTCAAAACGGTACCCTCAGAACCTTTGTTGGATCAAAAGTACTTAAATATTATACATATATATATCTACATAATTTTCATCTTAAATTACATATTTTTAATTGTATTGTCTCTGTAAAGTGGTTTGCGGACGTTTGTCTATAAGAAATTGTTTGGATAAACAAATCAAGCCATAAAAACGACGATATCTTCCACATTTGGGATCAGATTATAGAGTAATGGGTAACGTTGTAAATTTTAACGACAGTCCCTTAACTTCTCATTCAGTAGGCATTCAGTAGGCAATGCTTTAAATTCCTTTATGGAAAACTGTCCAAGGGCCCGGCGTTGCCCGTGGAAACATAATTTCAGTAAATTTGAAAAAAATAAGTAAAAAAAATTTTAAAATAGATATTTTTCAGCTCAAGACACCCTCCGGCCACCCCTGAGTATTCACAAAAAAATTAAGCCAATCGGTCCTGCCGTTTGGCCGGCTATTGGTGACGTATATACGAATGTTTTGTTTTATTTTATAGATTGAGTGAATAATTTGTTTTAAAGTTTTAAATCCTTTTAAAGTTTTTCGAAAAAATTAGCAGAAAATAGATACACTGTGAGGATATAAATATGGTTCCTCGGAGTAGAATTGTTAAGGATAGAATTGTTTCTTGTTTTGGCTGCGAAGCCCCGAGCTCCTTTGTTCTTCCTCGCCTCTTCATCCTTAAAGGGAATGATCGAGAAAAATGTATGGGGGTATGGGCTTTCGGCGAAAAATAAGCGCTTTTGATCGCTACTAATCTTACTTCTATCTGTTGCGTTAAAAAGAGAAAATTGTTAAAAACGACTCATGCTGAAGAACGTGGCGTCCATACAAATTCAAAAAGTTGCAATATTCAACTCGGATCGTAAAATAATCAATTTAATTCTATGCAAATCATTTAGATATGACAACCAATCAATAGTCATTGATTATTTTTCGACGCATTCATATATAGTTAATATTTTATAATATTTTTGATTTTAAAAAAATAATATTTTGCTGGCGCTGGATTTTCGAACATTCCTAGAAAATATTAAAATGTTGTCTTTATTATTAAAAATCCGCGAAACAGGAATAAATATTTTCATAATTAACTCTCAGATCATAAAAATATTAGATAAAAAACGCTTATTTTTCGCCCTAAGCGAGAACAAAATAACAATAAAAACCCCAAAAATCAAGATGGATTAGAGCCCCTTAAAAATCAAGATCGAAAGATGAAAAAGGGAACAAACCTTATATACTCCGCGCATTTCAGTGGAAGGAGATTATATTAGAACAATGAAGACGACTGTTTTATCTAAGATTTGATTTTTAACCAGTTTTTTTGAATTAAAAGTTACCAAGTAATCAAAGAGAAGCTTTTAAATGTCAGCTTCTCTTTGTTTCGATGTTTATGTATTGTGTATCCATGCTGTTTAACAGCTTGATATGAAACAAAATTTAATTCGAAAATGGTCTTCATTCTTTTAATATAAACGCCTACAACAGTACCAGATATTGTCATTAATAAATTCAGATATTTAATTTTCTTTAAAGTTAATTCTAAAATATCCTAGAAAACAATTTTCTTCAATTAAACGATGATGTAAGATTGAAATTAAAACAGTCGTTCATAATCCTAAATTTTAGAAGAAAACGTGGCGATATATAAAAATACAAATTTGAAAATATTCTCTAAAATGAGAATATTAAAAGCAGTGTTTCGGATCCGTATCATTTGGTCGGATCCGGATCCGGATCCGTATCAGGAAACGTTGATATGGATCCATGGAGCGCCAAAAATTAACCAAAACCATGGAATAAATAAATCAAAATGGTTCGTAAATGTATTATTTACATGACGAAAATTTTACAAAATTATCTTTAATAATTTAATGTTTACATTTATATAATAGTAATGACGACATTTTTAACTTTAGGATTACTATAGTTTATAAATTATAACCTTGCATAACAATTAATAGGGAAAATCCGATTCACAGAATCAAAAGTTACCTCGGATCCGGATCCATCATCACGGATGCGGATCCGCGGATCCGGGTCCGAATCAAAATGATATGGATCCGAAACACTGATTAAAAGATTTAGTAAAAGTTTACCTGAGCAAGACTAGCTTTAATTTTATCCACGGTTCTCTTAGCTCTCTCAGCAGCTGTAGTTGCGAGTCGGAGAACTAGATTTTTCTCCACCAGGATCTATAAAAACAACTTTTCATCAGTGCTAGAATCCAAGGGGCACAATATCAATCAAAAACTGCGAAATTTTTTTTTTATCTCAAAATTCAAAACTAAACCGTTAAAAAAAAGAGTTTAAAAAAATTTCCGGATCTTTGTTTACTTAATTTTAACAAAAAAAATATCCGAAAAGCAGAAGAAAAATAATTTACAATTCTGCTTTGTTTATCAAAAATTAAGTAAATCTTAATCCGGATCAGTTTTTTTCCAGTGCGGATTTAGAATCCGGATCCGGATCCGCATCAACATTAAATCAATCCTAAGCACTACTATTTATACAGTGATATTGATAAAGGCAGAATGCAGATTTAGTTACCAAGGATTACACACTGTTTAGAAGATAAGTCCCGGGAGAAACCATACACGGAAAGGATTTGAAGACGACATTAAAAATTCAAAACAAAAAATCCAACAAATTTATCAAAGAATATTTAGAACTTATATAAAACTTTAATAATACACTGAATACAGGATGACTTATTTGGCCCTAAAAATGCATAGATAAATAGTTCTTTTCAAAGCCACCACTCTAGAATTTTTCTATTTCTATTTCAGTTTTCATAGAAAGTTTGTTTACCGAATTAATCATTCAGATTTTTTAAGTACAAATGCACACTGCATTGTCTTCACAGAAAAAAAGGCATTATTTGCTAAAATTTAGATTTCAATATTTGTTCCTATTTTAGGATGCTATATTGACAGGACTAGAGGCCAATTGGAATAACTTACAATTACACTTAAGTCAGTTGTTCACTTAGCTTAAAGTACTGCATGTCGTATTTAATTAGGGAGGTTTCTTTCTAGCTTTTCTACAGTGTGTCCCATATCATATTAGATCTTTAATCAGTCTAAATTATGTTTATTTGGGACTAATAAGAAATTTTCAGAAGAACATATCATTTCGTAAAATTGAATACGGCTTATATAAATTTTTTCTTGCAGAAAATGTTAGGTTTTTCGAGTATTATGGGTTTATTTTGGCGTTGAAGCTTGGAGATAGTCTAATATGATATGGGACGCTCTGTACAAACTCATTCTTTTTGTATTCTCAGCAGTGTGATTGCTTAACAATCTGCCAAATGAACATTTAACAAATATTTTCTATTTCTTAAAGGGACAGTAAAGGAAAAATGAAAGGGGGTATAGGCTGAAACCTAATCACTTTAGCTCTTGATCGCGACCCATGAAAGTCATATCTGATGTTCCTGTCTCGAGAAATTGATATAAAACTGTGTCAAATCTATACGAAATCAAATCTATAGTGAATAAATGTCCACGAAAGATTGAGAAATTGAAAATGCAATTTATGCATGAATTTAGCTTGTCTAATTTTGTTGCAACTAACATGACTCCAAAGAAGGCTTCAGGCTGGTCAAAATCAAAAAGTTCCGTCTAGAAAATATTCCGCGAAATTTTGAATTTTACCATCGCGAAAAAATTGTGGGTCTTATGAAATTACGATAATGAATTTAAAAACTTGTTAAGCATTGATCACTGATTCTGTCAGAATATCACAAGTGGTAAGAAGTACTCTACAAATCTAGATCAGTGGCCATAATAAAATTGACAATTTTTTCCCAAATTTTAAGATTTCTTTTTCAAGTTACCTGACTAGCTAAATGAAGGGTACAAATCTCTCTGTATCCATTTACTCCCAGAACCATCTTGCCCTGCAAAATGTTGATTTTTTAAAATACTAAAATAAAATGTTGCTATTCAGTTTCTCATACTGAAAAGAATTTTCAGAAATGAATGAGAATTGTGAAAACTTTTATCGAGTTATTTTTTTCAAAAATATTTCTTATCATAATATGAAATTATTTTTAGAAAAGGATGGCGGACATTAGCTCAAGGAATTTATACCTGAATAGTATTGAACAATAGATAGTGAGTGAGTAGGTAATATTATCTTATTCTCCCTCTCTCTAGTTCTAAATGTATAACGTCTGTACCTGCTATACTAGAAGCATCAAACAGATTTCCTTCATGATTTAGAACATGGATATCAAGACGTATTTCCCAAACCTAGATATATTTAACAATACAATGATAATCACTTGGTTCTTAAATGAAGAATATTTTGTTTATCGTACAACACACCAACCTGAAGTGGAAAATTGTTGATAAGATAAGGGTAAATTATAATTCCAAAAGCGAACACAAACTTTTCGCTCAATTAATAAACTTGCAAATATAATGAGCTGACAGATCAATAGCAGATCTTCCATTAGTGCGTCCGAACTTCTGACCAATGAAAGATCAGTTAATCTCATGGAACTGAGTAAAACCCTTGCCGTGGTAAAAAATTTATTGAATTAAAATCGATTCCAATTAGTTCAGCCCAATCAAAGATAAACGTTTAGATGATCCTTAATTTCATAATCTAAATGTAAAAAAAAAAAAGATTAAGATGATGATTTTTGATAATTGGGAAGAAAAATATTGGACATCAAAAGGCGAGTGTGTTTCACTCTTTTCGATAATTTTTCCCAAAAATAATTTTTCCCCGGTCAAAAAATCCTTTATTTTACTAATTCAGTAAATAAAACCCTACAAAATTACATTAAAAAAACGTACAAAAATTATTTTTGAAAGCTGGGAGTGTGAAAATTAATGTCTTTGTGAAATAAAACTTACTTTTTCTTCTGAAACAATACATAAAGATTCTAGATCTAGACATCTTGATTCCTTGAGTGTTCTCTCCAATAGTCGACTCAGCTCTACTCCTTGGTCTCCAGCCCGTCCACCCTCAAAACTAGAAATTAAATCAACTCACAATATACCTTACAGGGATACTTCTAGGGACTGTACAGGTAAAATGAAAGGGGGTATAGGCTGAAACCTGAGAATCTCAGGAGTTAAACGATACCTATATGTGATATTCCTGTCTCGAGAAACTGACATAAAACTGTGTTAAAAATATATCAAACATGTAAGATATATGTCCCTATCACGTGACCAGAACTCCCTCCAATGGCAGTGCAGTATATTTGGTCACGTGATATAGATGGAGACGCGTGACAATAATACTGCACTGCCATTGGTTGGAGTTCTGGTGACATGTTCAGAACGCATAAATAATATTATCAATTATATCCATTAAAAAGGAAAACTCATTAAATTCAAATAATATTAGGAGCAAACTTCAATTTCTCAGGCTCCTCTGGGATATCGTTGTTTTAAGATTGGTTGCGCATTTGTTGAATATGATGTGTTTAATACTACCAATCGTATACAAAATTCTGCATATATATGTTTTGAAAATAATTTTTACACAGTTTTATAGCAATTTCTCAAGACAGGAACATCAGATATATGTCTCAATCAACTCCAGAGATTCTCAGGTTTCAGCTTATACCCCCTTTCATTTTTCCTTTACAGTCCCTTTAATGCATCCTTTGTAAGTATCAGAGGTTCAAATCCCTCCCTTACTCCGTGTTTTCAGTCCAATATTTAGCATGATTTTTAAATTGTTCCTATTCCGTTTTTACGTCGATTTTTTTGTCATCATGAAATGTAGTACAGTCGAATTTTTTTTACCTGGGGACCTCTAAATCAGAGGAATACGGTTTCAACCCGTGATTTGACTAAGTGTCAGGTTAGGGCCAACTTTGCAAAGTTTATTTTTGTTATTCAGGTTGAGAAGTAAAACCGTCTGCATAGTTTAAGATATTTTAAAATTATGGACTGTATTTTTAACGTAATTAGTTTATGTTCCAAAACGCTTCCAAGATTTGAATTCGTGACAAGTGCGAAAATGGAAAACCTTGAAATTTTAATTGTTTCTAAAAAAGTATATGTTTCTATAAAAAAAAAAGATCGTTTCCAGTTTTATTTTAGAAAAGAAGTAAAATGTGATATTTCTGGTTTTCGTCATGCTTAATAATATATTGGAAATAGTTTCTTTAATTGATATTTTACCTCGAGACAAGAAGAGTTACTAAAACGTGGAACATAAGCACGGTTTGAAACTTTCTTTCCCTGTATTTTCTACCTGGGGGCCCCTAGTGAGGTAACAAGTATATAATATTTACCTGGGGGCCCCTAGTGAGATTACAAGTATATAATATTTACCTGGGGGCCCCTAGTGAGGTTACAAGTATAAAAAATTTACCTGGGGGACCCTAAAGAGGTTAGCTCTACATTAACTTGAAGAGTCCCCTCGTTGGGTCGGGTAAACATTGGTTCAACCACTTGAGCAGAAACCTAAAATTTTCTCAACTTTAAAATTATTCGGCAGTGCTTTAAAAGCTTTTACTGTTTAATGAATACTAAGGTTGTGAAATTTTTCTAAAACAATTTTACAAAATCAGAATATTTTCCACTGGAAATACTAAGGTAGGTTTTTTTCTGAAATATTAAAAATGGCTGTCTCAAATGGGCGTTGATGATAAAAAAATGCGTAAAAATCACTATTATAAGAAAAATGAAAATTTTGAAAAAATATCAAACTTCATTGAAACCGTGTTAAATATCCGAATTAATATCAATTTACAGAATTTAAAAATATTGAAATTTGACCGTGTTAGGTAAAAAAAAATCCAACTTTTTTAGATACACTTAATGAAATTTATTTAGATAAAAAATTAATTTTGACTATTACTTGCCCAATTTCCGCATCAGGAACTATTAGTACACATTTTCTAGAACCCCCCCTCCCCTTTCTTTCAGAAGTTTTATTCGACCGAAGAGCAGATTTTTTTCTACTGTTAGTAGCTAAATTAGGGAAAATAAATGAGTTTAGGGAGCAAATAAATGAATTGTTTGGTAAAAAGTATCAAAAACTTGCATTGAAAAGTCCAATTTTTTTCATTCCTTTTGAAAAATCCTATTACCTGCGCCAATATTCTTGTTTTACCCAGCCTAACTTGACAACAACCCCAGTCAAGCCCGTAAGTGATTTCAACTGTAGTCCAGGCAATCTCGACCCTCCCACGGAGCTTGGTTTAATCAATCATTCCATCAGTCGTGGATTTCAATAAACCATGAGTCCAGGCTCCAAAACTCAAACAGCGCCCAACAGGCAATCCATTAATTCAATTATCGTCCTCTGTTTGGGCAACTGTATGTTTACCTCTAAAAGGAATCCCTTTTCACACAACGATATCGGAGTCTCCTTCATTTTCCTGAAATAAAATAACATACAAGTATTTATTAATTTAGTAATTTTTAAATATATATATACTTCTTCAAATAGATTACGCCTTCCCCATTGATGGATTTTTAACTGAATGTACAATATCAATTTAATGTTTTCTGACTGGATATAATATCTTTATTTTTTTCTAGGACTGTAATTGGCACAAGCCGATCATAAAACGATTTTTGGAATTCTATGTCTTAAATCAATGCATTTTTGTGCTCGTTTTTTATTCATTCACAACTAGTTGATATGGAGGTATTTGAGTGTACTAGGTACATTAATGCCAAAGTGTTTTTTAAAAGATAAAATTTTTATTCTTTTTAATCACGTCGATTTAGAAGTTCTGTAAAAATACAACCAAGGGACATCATAAGGATTTTCACGAGTACAAAACAAAATATCAAATTTTATGATTTTAACAAGGAGAGGAAGGCCAGCCACAACAATTTCTCGTCCGAGCCTCATTCTCGGACGAGAAATTGTTGTGATTGGCCTTCTTCCCCTTGACAGACGGTCCTCTTTAAAATCTTTTTAATAAATATATTTTAAAGTTAAGCATGCAAGAGAATAAAATACAATAATATCATAATGTTCAATTCATTTAGATTAGCATTAAATAAGAAACAAACACGTTGGTCGGGGAGGGGGGGGGATTTCCCAGTAGCAATACGGTAGTTTTTTAATTTATGACAATATTTTGGTTACATTTAAACCCTTCTATATATCACAGGGTGCTTCTTGGATACAAATGAAAACGGATTGACATTCAATGTGCAAAAATGTGCAATTTATCCGGATAATAATTTTATAGTGTGAATTAATTCGCAAAAAACTTTTGTGAACATGTGCAATTTATCAAGATAATCATCATCGGATCTGGGTTGATGATTTTATAACCCCAGCTCAAATTGCATCCGAAATGTTTATATTCTTAATTCGGGGATAGAGATTTTTTATAGTGAGTGTGGAATTAGAAATCCGGATGTGGAGTTTCTAGGCTGGACGTATCCGGATTGATCTAAACCGTCACCACGCCTCCAGGGAAGGTCCACTCCCACTGATCATCTAGGGTATGATACCACTTCTCATCAAACACAAAATCCAGAAATTTTAACCTAAAACAAACATTTTAATATTAAATTAGTTTTAAGTAAAAATGTGTTAAATAATGGGTTAATAAACGTCAATTTTATACCTACGCTGGCCGGCCATTCGTCGACAAATACGTCTACAATCGTCGGCGTCGACTAGAGCGTCGTGAGACTCTCTGATTGGCAGTCCAACCTCACCTATGCGGCCATTTAAATGAAGTAACAAATCTTTGAGGTAATAACGAAAATTTAAAAATCATTGTTAAATTTTAGAAAACCACATCTGGACAAATGTTACAAAAATGGCTGTACAATGTACAGTAATTTTGGTAAGCGGCCATAGAACAAGCCATTACATTACGAATGCACTTGAAAATTTAGCAAATTGCCCATTCCTAACATTGAAGATAGTTTGTGTGAGGGAGCAACAGGATACAGATCTCTAAACAAACACTATTATTAATAGTTTTAACTAGTGATTAGGGTCCGGTTCCGCTGCACAACAACATTTTCGCTTCCTGAATCCGGATTCGGATTGAATTGGCAAAATTACCAACAATTCTTTTTGCTCTCAAAATATTTTTTCTTAGTAAATACAAGAAATCTTGAAGAAATATTTAGGATACAGATCCGAATCTAAATTAAATGGATTTTAAGGTCTGGTCAAAATTAAATTTTTCTTATTTTGTCAATTTCAGGTACAAAATTACTTCTTAAAAATCGAACCTGCTCGCTAGAAGGCTGTCCGAGAAACCAAGAATAACGTGCTCATAGGGTATATTAAACTCCTTAAATTCACTCATGAAAATTTCGGTCACAAAGCCTCGGAAGTATGCCATTTAATATGAGAAATTTAGACCATTAGAACTAACATGAAAAAAAATAACTAAGGGAATCATTGCAGATAAGTGAAAAATTAACAACACAAAATTTTCATACTGATCGAAGAAAATCATTTAACAAATGAACTAGTCGATTGCCACAAATACAAATTTTCCAAATCCTATATCTTTGCAACTTGGTGTTGTAAATAAACCGGAGTTTACAGTGATTTAAGGATTATTTAATGTGAGTTAGTAGCATACTTTAAGTTCAAGAAAATAAGCTAAAAACATGAGAATTTCCTCTAAGTTCCGAAGTAAAACTTTAGCATCGTAATCCAGGCACTTGTGGGCAACCAGCACGACGTTTCCTAAACATTATATTTTCTTTAAATATTTCTAATAATTCAAAAAAAGAATAACACTAATTTTATGATATATATTATATATTGTTATTTTTACACTGAATACCCAAACTTGGCCCAGCTACATTTTGCATAGTTCGGTTTTGCCAAGTGATATTTTGCCTCATCATATTTTGCCTAATCACATTTTGACTAGTAACATTTTGCCTAGGTAGCAGTTTGCCTAGATAACGGCTTGCCTGAGTAACATATTGCCTATGGTAACACAAGAGTTAATTTTAAGCCTAGTTAATAATTTTTTTCACCAAAAAAATTTACAAAAATCCGCGAATTTGTCATCAACTCTGCAAATTTTTGAAAATCATTCAATTTCCTACAATACCATACCATGCCGAAAGATGATTATGTTCAAACCCTTGCTTCATGATGTTAACTGTATTTTTAAAATATATAACTCTGATGCCTAACCATGTTTTATCTTTTGTAGAGTAAATACTCACTAATTTTGCAGTTATTTTTAATGTTAAAAAAGCGCTAACCAAGATACAATTTAATTGTTCTACAACATTCAAATCATTTATATTTAACTGGATCAGCTTTTTGAAAAAATAAATGTTTAATTTGTACAAAATCTGTTTGGAAAAAATGGAAAAGGCAAAAAATTTGCTCTTGCGTTACCTAGGCGAAATGTTACCCCAGGCAATGTGTGAGTAGGCAAACTTGAACAAGGCAAAAAGTTAATCAGGCAAAATGTTACCAGGCAAAATGTAGCTGAGCCCCAAAATTTCATACATTTCCCACCATTATACAATATTGCTCTAAGATACCGAACATCCCGGGGGGGAAATATATATCATTTTAAATAACTTCTTAGTTTAGTTCTTATTAAACATTTTACAATAGTTTTACCGTTATGTTATTCAAAAAACTAACCTCCAAGTGAGGAAAGCCAGTCTAAGAATGAATAAAGAGCATCCTCGAGATCTGTAGTATCCAGAGCTCCTTCCCCCTGGCGAAACAGAGTCCCTCTAAAACATAAAATAACAAGTTAGAAAATAATTAAGTTCTAGTGAAACGCCCTTATATTTTGTTTATTTTGTCGCTTTTTGTTTATTCACTGATACATGAAAAAGTCTTGTTCAAAAGTACGTAATGTGTGCGTCGTCTTTCACATTTTATCTTCAGATCTCATATATTTAAATTGCCTCGCATACAATATTCCTCAATGTGAACTTACGCTAATCATTTTATTTTGTTTAACTGTCTTTATCTGTTTTTCGCTTTTTTTCGAATTTAAATGAGTCTTTTTTATCATCAGCCAACTATATGCTTTTTGACATATAATTTACTCTATACGAAACCCATGATTTAATTTTACTGTTAATTTTTCGTTGTATCGCTTGGAACAAATAAAGATTTATATAATGTGATAATAAAATAACAAATATTCATGGGAGTGTCGTAATTAGAAGTGACCTCCCGGGCATGTCCCATTTACGCCGATATCTTGTTCTTTCTTCTCTTCTTCTAATCAATTACATACTCAGAAGATATCGTCGCTTCTTTGGCTTGAAAATTGTGTCATTTTTTGGAAGCAGAAAAAAATCCAAAACAAGCCCAGGAATTACAACTAAAGTTCCATCAATATAAAATTAAATTCAGTGTTACAATATGCTTTAAAAGACGATCAATAAATCTGTGAAAAATAAAACTATAAAATTGCTTAGAGAGGACAAAAAGAAAACCCTTAACACTAAACATGTTTATCTTCTCTTCACAACTTTACCTGCTGACGTAGAATTTATTAGTAAGGGTTGCTTTAGGATGAACATGTCGACGAGGCCAGACGAATTGGTTGTAAGTGTTTGCTCCCCAGCTATCTAAGATAAACATGACAGTATGAAAAACATTAGAATTAAAATATGATAATTTAAAGCAATGATGACCAAAATGCAATTTAATACATGTACCTTTTTTTATAAGAAATAATCAGATTAAATTACTGAAGAATTTTAGACATTGGGGTCCGTCCTAGTATACGATTTTGGACCCCCCCCCCCCTTCCCTTTCAATTTTGTACATGACCACTTTTTCTTCAGCACAAATATTGTTTATTAGGGTTAGGTTAGGACAATTACTGGGCCGAACCCTGCGGCTAGGACAGGCTAAGGGGGCCGGGCGCTGCGGCTAGGACAGGCTAGGGGGCCGGGCGCCGCGGCTAGGAGGCCAGACACTGGGGTTTGTCCTATTGAACGATTTTTGGACCCCCCCCCCTTCCCTTTCAATTTTGTACATGACCACTTTTTCTTCAGCACAAATATTGTTTATTAGGGTTAGGTTAGGACAATTACTGGGCCGAACCCTGTGGCTAGGACAGGCTAAGGGGGCCGGGCGCTGCGGCTAGGACAGGCTAGGGGGCCGAGCGCTGTGGCCACGGGTTATGTCAAGAAAAGACATTTTCTGTAAGATCCATGTACAAAATTGATAGGAGGGGGGCGGGGGGCTGGGGGGGGGTCCAAAAATCGTACTCTAGGATTATACCCAAAATTCGTATATTAAGAAATTACTTGACATTGCCCCCCTCCAGCGTTCGAGGCCCCAGCCTGTCCTGTTGAGTGGGACCATGTACTATTAAAACTTTTTTAATATATACCTATTGCTCCTATCTGTACAGGTCTTATAGGCCGGTCAAATCCTGTTGTTTCTAGATCAAAGAATACAACATTAGGAGCTCTGTACTTCTTAGATCCATAGCTCATAATGATTTCTCTTTCTAAAAAGAAACAAGTTAAAAATCTCCCTTAATATAATTAACACTTAGATAAAAATGATCTCTGATGGGAACAAATATTTGATTATTAAAAATATTTAGTTTATAGCTTCTTTTAAATCTAAAATACAGAAATTAACACTTTCTCCATGCTTTTCCTGAGACGGTCGGTGGTACAGCGCAATTTGAGCTTAATGCCGCGCAGTTGTAAATAAAGGTCTTTGACATTGTTTTTGATCGTCTTCGCAGTTTAAGGATGCGTACTAATGTTCGGTGGTGTATTTTTGGTAATGTTACATCGTCTAGACGCAACATCCCTACTGAACTTCTGACCTACTAACTTTCCGACCTACTGCAATATCGGACCTACGCCAGCTGATTATTTTAGTATTATTTTATGGTTAGGTTAGGTTAAGACAATTTCTGGGCCGAGCGCTGCGGCTAGGACAGGCTAGGGGGCCGGGCGCTGCGGCCACAAGTCCATATAGCAGCTGTAAAACCACGTGCCAGTAGGTCGGATGTGTAGTATAGCGGATTTGGCGTAGGTCAGAAGTGGAGTATGGCGGATATGTGTAGGTCGAAAAATACACCACCGTATTTTTCGACCTACGCAAATCCGCTATACTCCAATTCTGACCTACGCCATGAATCCACTATACTACACATCCGACTATACTAGCACGTGGTTTAATCAACTACTAAATGGACTTGTGGCCGCAACACGCGGCCCCTAGCCTGTCCTAGCCGCAGCGCTCGGCCCAGATATTGCCTTAACCTCACCTAACCCTCAAATAATGCAAAAATAAAAAGCTGGCGCAGGTCCGATATTGCAGTAGGTCGGAAAGTTATTAGGTCGGAAGCTCAGTAAGGGGGATGTTGCATATAGACGATATGTAACAGACAGGGGCGTACGAGGGGGGGCCGCGCCCCCCGCCCCCCTCTACGCGTGCACCCCCTGAGAGGCTGAGGGGGGGCATCCATGGGGGAGGCTCTTTTAATATTACATCTGCTTGCATTTCCCTTCCTCAGGTCAGGCACAGTGGTGTACCAAGGGGGGGCAGTAGTTCACTTGCCCCCTCTGGGAGTTCCAAAAATACAAAATTAAAAGGAAAATACGTTTAGAAAGTAACACCTGACAATGACAAAGAATAAGGATTTGTCTAAATTCACTGTTAATACAANGACCAAAAAAATTTTTTGCGCGCAAATTGTGCCCCCCCTAAACAAAAGCCCTCGTACGCCCCTGGTAACATATTACCCTAACGTTCATTCGCACTATAGTGAGCACGTGGAGAACTATACCTTTTATAATTCTAGCGGAATTCGACTCATTCAATTAATTACCTCCATTGCCCATAAATTATATTTAACCAGCTGAAGGGCGCCCGGCGTTGCCCGTGAAAAAAAAAATTGAAAAAAATATTTGAAAAAAATATTTTTAAAATAAAATTGTGAAATGAAAAATTTCGAATTTTTTTAGCTTATAACACCCATGTGTGTACACAAAAAATTTCAGCTCGATCGGTCCAGCCGTTCGGCCGCTATAGACAACATATATATATACGAATGTCTTGTTTTATTATTACGGATTAGTGCAATAGAAATTATTTTAAAACAAATGACCTAAAAAAGCTCAATAAAACTAAAATCGAAAATTTGACCATTTTGAACATTTACCACCATATATAGCTTTGATTAGTACAAATGAACATATATTAATGCAAATGAACAAGAAATTGCTAATAAATTATAATTATTTGAAGAAAAAAAACATTAAATTCCTTTTAAACCAATATTTCGTTGGAAATGTTCATTCATGCACGTAAGTTCAATTGCACTAAAATGTGCAAAAAATTGTCGAATTTACAATAAATTAATAATAATAATAAATAAATTTACAATAATTTATATAAAAATATCTTTCCTCTTTATTTTTAATCTTTTTATTTTTATTTCAGTAACAAAACACCTTTATTAATGGTTATTATTATTAATTTGTTAAATTTTCATTCAAATACAATTGTGTGTCCTTTAAAGTTGATCATTGATCATTGAGCAATGCTGAATACACGTGATCTAAAGGTTGCAATCCCTTACGCAAAAATCAATGAGAAGATTCCTTAAAAACTAAATCTAAAACAGTTGTTTAAAATTCCTTAAATAAACATGTTTAGAGCTACAAAACAATATAAAATAAGTTATGACGTGAAATAAAAGGCCAGTCCATACAATGTGAATGTTATATATACACAATACAATACACATCATGAAGTTTTTTTTATAATTTGATTCTACTTTTTTACAGAAAATTAAAAAATCACTGCGATTTAATGGTCTCTAAAGCTTAAATTGTTGAGAATTTAGCCAATTACTTTTAAAATATGTTTTTAAATAGGAGTCTAATCCATTCATTATTAGGCTAGTATCCCTTTAAATAAAATTTTTTAGATACAATCCCTTTGATTATTAGGATACAATCCCTTTAATTATTAGGATACAATCCCTTTAATTATTAGGATACGATCCCTTCAATTATCGGGATTCGGGATACGATTCCTTTATTCATTAGGATACTATTCCTTCAATTATTTTAGATCAGATCCCTTTGCTTTTTAGGATTCCTTTAATTATTATTATAAAATATTTTAGGATATAGTATCCCTTTAATTATTATAGGATAGTGGGCCAGTGGCCCTTTAATTTAATGGTTACGATCCCTTATATTATTATAGGATAGTGGGCCAGTGGCCCTTTAATTATTAGGTTACGATCCCTTATATTATTATAGGATAGTGGGCCACTGGCCCTTTAATTATTAGGTTACGATCCCTTTAATTATTATAGGATAGTGGACCAGTGGCCCTTTAATTATTAGGTTACGATCCCTTTCATTATTATATGGATACGATTCCTTTGATTATTAGGATTACATAACCCGTTAAAAAATAAGAGTGCCAAAAAATTAACATAAGTATTTTTTGAACAGCATGTATAAGTGAGCACTTAAAAAAGAATCTATGTTTTTTCGAAAAACAAATTTATTGTCATGTTTCTTTTCTCAAGCAACATTTTTGTAAAAATATGAAGTTGTAACTTAATGATATTATACAGTATCTACACTTAAGCTCCAGGGTCTTTTAAAATTATGTTTTCAATTTATTTACAAATCAAATTGTAAAAAGAGCAAATTTTTATGATGGACATTTCAAGATAAAATTTATTTAAACAATCTAGTTTGGAGAGAGGTAGAAGCAGGAGAACTTGGTATAATCCCATCCAGTCTCTTCAATACAATCAGCTCCACCAGTAGACTCCATGTTCATCTAAACAAATATATATTTATAAAATAGGAGACCAGTGGCGGATATAAGGGGGTTATTGGGGTTATTTACCCCCCCCCCTAGAATCCTGGGGGTAAATACCC